TATCAATATTCACCACTACGCAAAAGGAGATCATGGGCGATAGCGGTTACAAAAGAAGCCCCAACGAACAGCACGATCACAAGCAATTGTGGATAGTGAACATCAACAGTTGAAGGCAGTTACTAAGAAGTGCCCGCAAAAGGAGGAAAACGGTGATGATCTTCATGTCTATAAATACTCCAAAGCACCATTTCACAAAGGACGACTTTTTGCACCCAGACACCACACCTAAACACTCTGAGACGCTGAAACTCTGCACCGCGCCAGACACCAGCTACAAGGAGACCTACGGTGGCCGTTGTTCGCCATTGTGAGGAGTCGTACGTTTACATTCCAGCACCTTTACATTCCTACATTTACCTTTCTGCATTTTAATTTCAGTTCTTGTTACTTATGTCTTCGTACGTTGTTTAGTTCCGGCTTGCTACATTTCTGTAAAAGCATCTACGTTTGATTTAATTGTGCACATTTAGTATTCACTATTCCTGCTTAATACTCTTTTACGCCGTTAATCTGAGCATCACGTTAACGACACACTTAAAAGAACCCAAAGAGGACCTAAATTCAGTCCCCAGATTGATCTTTGGATTATTTGTTTACAACTGTCATTTTTCACCGTAAACAAATTGGCACGCCCGGTGGGACAATATTGTGTGTTTTGAATGATTGCTTGCTTTGTTGCATGATATTACGTAACGGACGTTGTATTATGGCTAATAGAGGAAGAAATAGTGATTCTAGTTCTGGGAATGGCAATTCCAGAAGTGATGGTAGTGATACTAACCCAGATGTAAGCGGCAGTACTACTACTGCCGCACAACCCACACCAACGACGGCGTTACCTACGCCGTCATCTCCCGTAGTTAGCCAATTTATGGCTACTATGCTGCCAACCAATCCCAGCATAAATCCTGGCCCAAGGCCAAGGCTGGGCGATCACCCATTTGGCTTACCTCCCGTGTGTATGCCTCCTATCTTTGGAGTACCAACCTACTCTAACCCTGTGGTGACAACCGTGTCACCCCAGAGTCACACCATTCCACCAGGAATGGGTGTACTCCATACTATTCCACCGGGAATGGGTACGATTGGTGGAGTACCTGAAACGCAATTTGCGTTTGGAGCTTCGAGTGGGGATTCACTTCCTACTAGCTCGTTTTCGAATGTTGCCTTACATTCCATGAGGCAACAAATGGATGAAAGCAATCACGAGATGGTCAATATGCTGACTCATCAAATGACCACTGTGTTGAATCCCATAGTGGAAACGACTAATACCAGCTATCAAATTTTGGCTGAACAAATGCGTCGAATTGCTGACGTTTTTGGGCCACCTCGAGTTCCTATAAGGCAAGGGCAAAATGTTGCCCAAACAACTAATCAAGATGCTACACATCTTGGTCGAAATGGTCAAATTTTTGAGCAAAATAGACCAAATTTTGGTCCAAACCTTCCGAGACAGAATGAGGGAAATTTTCAGGTAGACCAACCCCTAGTTTTTGCTCGAAATCCAAATGCTCCGTTTGAGCAAATTGGTCGAAATCTCGACCAAAACCTTCTGAGACAAAATGAGGGTGATTTCCAGGGAAATCAACCCTTTATTATTGCTCGAAATCAGAATGCTGATGAAATACTTGAGCAAGTTAGGCAAAATAATGTAGGGGGGCATCAAATTCAATATCCAAACAACCCGAATCCTCAAAACATTGCCAATGTAGTCGAACAAGTCTTGAATCAACATGGGTTCGACGTAGGGTATGCTAATAGACCCTACTTTGTCTCAGCATTCTCTGAGGCAATTTTGCAGGCTGAACTGCCTCGGGGCTGGAAAGTCCCAAAATTCACTAAATTTGCCGGAGATTCCGGTGAATCTACAGTAGAACATATAGCTAGATACGCCATAGAATGTGGAGATTTAGCTCGAAATGAAGATTTAAAGTTAAAGTACTTTCCTAGTTCTTTGACTAAGGGGGCCTTTACCTGGTTCACAACCTTACCCCCGAATTCAATTCATAATTGGAATCAATTAGAAAGAAGGTTTCATGAACAATTCTTTCGTGGTGAAGCGAAAGTTAGCTTAATGGATTTGGTTAATATAAAAAGAATACATAATGAATCCATTGACGATTATCTAAGTAGATTTAGACAAATGAGGTCGAGATGTTTTACTCAAATTCCAGAATATGAACTAGTTCAAATGGCTATAGGCGGATTGGAGTACTCGATTAGAAAGAAATTGATTAATCAGCAGTTAAGAGACATGTCGCAGTTAGCGACGAGAGTGAGGCAAATCGAGCAACTTAAGGTTGAAAAATTTGTCCCTAAGAAAATAGAGAAATTTCCTCGAAAAGACAAAGTGGCTTATATAGGTCTCGCTGAAGGAGAAATAGGAAGCGAGAATGATCTCGACGAAGAAGATGTTGATTTAGGGGTAAATGAGGTAAATGTAGCTGAATTAAAACCAGGACCCCCTTATGTTTGCCAATCTTTAAAACCACTCGAAACTAAGGACAAAACTCGACCTAATAAGAGTTATGCCTTTGATGTATCTAAAGCTGATCATATTTTCGACATTTTATTGAAAGATGGGCAAATTATATTATCTGATGATCAAAAAATCCCTACTCTAGAACAAAGAAAGGGTCGAAAATATTGTAAGTTTCATCATGTTTATGGACATTGGACTAATAACTGTGTTCGTTTCAGGGATCTTATCCAGGACGCCATTAAGCAAGGACGATTAAAATTCGAGCAAAAAACCAAAATGCCGATGAAAATCGATTCTGATCCCATGCAAATAGAAGCTAACTTCGTGGAACCTATCGACATACTGATGGTCGATGTTGCTGAACAACAGGGGTCATTCGATCGAGCTGTAGAAGAGCTAGAAGGGAAAGGCTCTTTGAATGACACCCTCGAAGCCTTCGAGAAGGAAGAAGCTGAAATCTTCCCAAAGGCTGGTGACTCGCTGCTGGACTTTCTAACTCGAAAGAAGGAAGCAGACAGTGAGGTCATGTTGTGCCCGAGGTGTAGCGCCGTTTTCGATAAAGCGGCGGCCAAAGCCTTCGAGCAATCAGAGATGAAGAAACACTATCAGGTGACCACCAACCAGGTGATTACCAAGAACAAAGGGATCCAGACTCAGAATGCTTCTATCACCATACGTGATCCCCAGACTGTTCAAAGCAGGACCTTCGTACCTGCTCAAAATGTTCCGAGCAACACATGGGTTCGAAATGTGTTGCACCCATCACTAATTCGACCAAAACTGCAGATGGTCAAAAAGGGCGGACCGTCACATTCGACGGTCATGCCACAACAAGTTTTCTCACAACCCAAGTTTTTCACTCAAATTGGGTTCCAGAATCCATCCGGGAGCCATTTTCAGTCGAAAAAGCCCTATTTTAAGGCTCCTATGACTAAAACTCAGTGGAGAAGAGCTCAAAGAATCAGGAAGGCTGAGCATGAAGCACAAGCCTTGGCCCAAGCTCAAGCTCAAGTCCAGGCACAAGCTCAAGCTCGAATCCAAGCCCAAATTCGAGCTCAAAATCAAGTCCAACAAGCTCAGGGAAATGCCGCCAGAAAGATGCGGTGTACCCCGGTTAGTGTCGAAGTCAAAACGACTAAAGAGAGGGCACCAGCAATGAAGAAAGACTTGAAGATGAAGAGTCCAGAAATCGAGTACGATGCGGATGATGAATTGATCACCGATGTATTCGAATCAGGCTTTGAAGATGACCTCGAGGACATACTTGGGGTTGTATCCATGCTGCCTGCTGAATACGCCGAAGGAATCGGCGAAGGAGATGAAGAAGATTTCTATGCCGATGACGAACCCGATAATAACCTATGGGGTTATTGTTATTTGGCAGAGGACGGTTCACTTGCTAAATCGTCGGCTGTTTTTGAGAAGCCGACACGTGAAATGAAGAGTCATATGAAGCTGCTATACATTGCGGCTCGAATTGACGAAAAATTTCGAGTGAACAAAGTCCTCGTGGATTCTGGGGCAGCTATCAATATTATGCCCAGTTTTTTACTGAAAAAGATTGGGAAATTTGAAGAGGATTTACTCCCACACAACTTGGTACTAACGGACTATGAAGGGAAATCTTCAAGTTCCAAAGGGGCCCTAATCGTCAACTTGAGGGTTGGATCTGTTTCTCAAGCAACCATCTTCGTAGTGGTAGCTTCTAAGGCAAGTTATAATCTATTGCTCGGGAGAGAATGGATTCATGGGGTTGGGGCAGTACCTTCGTCACTGCATTAGAAACTATGTTTTTGGAATAACAACGGAGTGCTGGAATACGTCGATGGATATCAGAGCTATTTTAAGGCTGAAGTTCATGTAAGCAGTCTCGATAGCAAGACATTCGACAAATCTTTTGCCAACATTGCGCCACTCCGTATAGAAGATATAGGCGGCCCTCATTTTGGTCGAAATCCTCTTCTGCCAAATGCTCATGAAATTCGACACCAGATTCGCCTAGACCCTTCGGTGGGTTTTTACGGCTTCCAAGAAATAGTGAAGGCCGAAAAGAATGAAAATGAAGAGCCTTGAAAAGAGCCTTTTGGCTCGAATTTCGGCTTACGTAGCCGAAAATAAAATAAAAACGGTTCTCGAAGCCGGGGATACTTCAGAGGTCGATAAATTTAGTTCGGCCATAAAATCACAAAAAATAGAAGAAATCTCGGCCCATGAAGCCGTAGACCCAATCCAAGGCCATGCAGATATCAATATGGTTGAAAGTTCGGTTCATCTAGCCGAATGAAGAGAAGCGGTCCTAAAAGTGGCTGAAGGATTGGAGGCCGATTCACCATATTCGGCCATTACGACAAATTCGGCTTATCTAGCCGAACAAAGGCACACAGAACTCGAAACATGTGTGATTCAAGAAGAATCGGTTCTAGAGACCGAAGGCAACGATGTCCGGCTTGATTGCATCTACGATGATGCACCAATTAGCTTCGAGGAAGATTCAGCTCGAAAAGGGCCAAAAATGGAGGCACAAGATCCCTTAGAAGAAGTGAACCTGGGAGATGAAAAGGAGCCGAGGTTAACTTTCATCAGTAAATTGGTCGAAGAAGAAGTGAAAGACCAATTAATCAAGCTACTAAGGGAATTTAAGGATTGCTTCGCCTGGGATTATGATCAAATGCCAGGCCTTTCGAGGGAATTAGTCGAACATCGACTCCCAATTCGACCAGAAAAGAGGCCAGTAAAGCAACCACCTAGGAGATTTGCGCCAGAGATTTTGCCAAAAATCAAGGAAGAGATCGAAAGGCTTCTTAGAGCAAAGTTTATTCGTACTGCCAGGTATGTTGACTGGATCTCGAACATAGTACCTGTGATTAAGAAAAATGGATCTCTTAGAGTTTGCATTGATTTTCGAAATCTAAATACTGCTACACCAAAAGATGAATACCCTATGCCAATAGCCGATATGTTAGTAGATTCGGCAGCAGGGAATGAAATTTTAAGTTTATTAGATGGATATTCAGGGTATAACCAAATTTTTATCGCTGAAGAGGATATATCGAAAACAGCTTTTCGATGCCCTGGGGCTCTAGGAACTTATGAATGGGTAGTAATGCCATTCGGATTAAAAAATGCTGGAGCTACATACCAAAGGGCAATGAACACTATTTTTCATGACATAATAGGCGAATTTTTGCAAGTTTACATCGATGATATTGTTGTGAAATCTAAGTATAAAAGTGATCATGTTGGTCATCTTCGACAAACATTTGAAAGAATGTTATGGCTTGAAGATGAATCCTCTAAAGTGTGCTTTTGGTGTTATTGCAGGAGAGTTCCTTGGCTTTATTGTTCACAAAAAAGGAATTGAAATCGACAAGAATAAGGCCAAAGCAATATCTGAGACACAAGCCCCTTCGACTAAAAAACAACTGCAATCGTTGCTAGGGAAAATAAATTTTCTACGAAGATTTATTTCCAACCTTTCTGGCAAGGTTAAAATCTTCTCACCCCTATTGAAGTTAAAGAAAGAAGAAGAGTTTCGATGGGAGGTAGAACATCAAGCTGTTTTCGAGGAGATAAAGCAATATCTAACAAAACCACCAGTAATGGTTCCGCCAAAGAAAGGTTTTCCCTTGAAGTTATATATCTCAACATCAGAACATACTATTGGGAGCATGCTAGCTCAAGAAGATGAAAATGGTGTCGAAAGAGCTATTTATTATCTTAGTCGAATGTTGATAGGTGCAGAATCTCGATATAGTCCAATCGAGAAATTATGTTTGTGTCTATATTTTTCTTGTGAGAAATTGAAATATTATATTAGGCCTTTTGATGTACATGTTTATTCACATCATGATATAATAAAATATTTCTTGTCGAAACCTATCCTTCACGGTAGAGTTGGAAAATGGGCGTTGGCTTTAACAAAGTATTCTTTAATTTATAAACCACTAAAATTTGTAAAAGGCCAAGTTGTTGCTGATTTCGTTGTTGATCACTCAATTCCAATCAAAGAAATAGATTTTATAAGTCTAAAGTCATCGAAATTATACTTCGATGGATCTAGTCATAGAAATGGAGTTGGAATCGGAATACTGATAATTTCACCAGATGAAATCCCAACGAAATTACGCTTCGAGATAAAAACAACTTGTTCAAACAATGAAGCTGAGTACGAAGCATTATTAGCTGGACTTGAAATACTGTTAAATTTCGGGGCAAGAAATGTAATCATTCGAGGAGACTCTGAGTTAGTAATAAAGCAGCTAACCAAAGAGTATAAATGTTTAAGTAAAAACCTCGTCGAATATTGGGTAAAAGTGAATAAGTTATTACAAAAATTTGAGGAAGTCATTCTAGAACATATTCCTCGAGACAAAAATCAAGAGGCCAATGAATTAGCCCTAATTGCTTCGAAATATAGAATTTCGAGTGAAAACCTGACAAAATTAACAGAGATAAGGGAGAAGTTAGGGTCAACAAACCTTGAGATCTTAAACATAAATGACTTAACTGACCAAGATTGGAGGAAACCTTTAGTCAATTATCTCAAGGACCCCAACATTCCAACTGATCGAAAAACAAAATTTCGAGCAGTTAAGTATATAATTGTGGTTAATGAATTGTATAAAAGGGGTGTTGATGGCACTTTACTTCGCTGTCTCAGCGAACATGAGGCTTATATTGCCCTGGCAGAAATCCATGAAGGGATTTGCGGAGCTCATTAAGCTGGAGAAAGAATGAAATGGATGTTACTTCGAGAAGGATTGTACTGGCCCTCGATGATTAAAGATTGCTTTGAATATGCAAAATCCTGTGAAGAATGTCAAAAGCATGGTAATATTCAACACGTTCCAGCCTCAGAATTACATTCAATAATTAAGCCATGGCCTTTTCGAGGTTGGGCTCTGGATTTAATTGGCCAAATTCATCCTCCTTCAACAAAAGGCCATAAGTATATCATTGTAGCTGTCGACTATTTTTCAAAGTGAGCTGAGGCAGTTCCGTTGAAAGAAGTTACTCAAAGTGATGTTGTTAATTTTATCGACGAATACATAATTCATCGATTCGGCATACCAGAAACTTTAACAACAGACCAAGGAACTGTTTTTGTAGGTCGAAAAGTAACTCAATATGCAAAGTCCTTGAATATAAAAATGATAACTTCAACCCCATACTATGCCCAGGCCAATGGACAAGTGGAGGCAGTAAATAAAATTTTAATCAAATTGATTAAAAAACACATTGGATCAAAACCAAGAAATTGGCATGAAACCTTAAATCAAGTATTGTGGGCATATAGGAATTCCCCAAAAGAAGCTACAGGGACAACTCCATTTTGACTCGTTTATGGCCATAAAGCCGTCCTACCTGTGGATGTGAATCTACAATCAGTTAGTTTACAACGGCAATTTGAATTACCAAGTGAAGATTATTGGGCCTTAATGTTTGATGAATTAAATGCTTTGGATGAAATTCGTTTAAGTGCCTTAGAAAAGATGATTCGACAAAAAGAAAGAATTTCGAGGTCATATAACAAAAAGGTACGAAACAAGCATTTTAATCCTGGTGAATTAGTGTGGAAAGTAATTTTACCGTTCGACAAAAAATCAAGAAAACTTGGAAAATGGTCACCCAATTGGGAAGGCCCATTCGAGATTGAAAATGTGTTTTCAAATAACGCGTATTCAATTCGAGAAATTGGAACTAATAGTCGAATAATGTCGATTAACGGTAAGTACTTGAAACCATACAAACCAGAAACATATGAAGTAAAAATAACTTGAATTAAGGCAAATAAACAGGTAATTCAAACAATAAGAGGACAAATAAGTAAATTTCATTTAAAGTAAAATTTGAGTATTGACAAAAAGGCCTAACTACAAGAAGTCAAAGGAAAATACAAGGAAAAATAAAAAAGGAGGCTTCGAGCGCATTTCAGTATAAACAGCTTTCAAATTTTGATATCTGGTTTCAAGAGCTGTACATTGTGCATCCAGACTCGAAATATCCTCCATAGCTAGAGCTCTCTCAATAGTCAGGGTCTTCACATTTTCTATAAAGTTTTTTCTTTTCTTCTCACAAGCCGCACTAGCTTTCTTCAGCATCTCCGACTCCTTTCGAGCTCTTTCGAGTTGTTTCTCTAAATCAACGATTCTAGCATCAACTTCTTTCTGCTTCATATCGGCATTGGTAGCCAATTCCTTTAGCTTGACTAACCCAGTTCGAGCCTCTTTCAATTTATTAGAAGCAGAGTCTTGCTTTACTCGAGCTTGATCTTGTTTAGAACCCACTACAGTGGTTTGGTCTATAATTGCTAAAGAATCGATGAAAAGAGACTCAAAACGTTGGAGCCCTTCAGGAAATGTCAAGAGCTGAGCTTTCAACGAAGAAAGTAAGTCTTTGATCTTGACAACCAAGTCCTTGTCAGTTGGAAGATTCTTCATCATTGGCGCATCAAAGACCAAGGACCTAAGCTCTTCGAGCATTTTTTCAGTTGATTCAGCAGGCTTGGAGACTTCTGAGTGCGACCCTGAAGGAGTATGAGATGAAGAAGAAAAGGTGAAGGTACCAGCCAAAATTTTGTCGATGGCCCCCTCTAGATCTTCCTCCACCATGGCATTAAAATCATCCAAGTTCATTTCTGAGTTAATGGATGATGATGGTGGCACAACTTCAATGTTGGGAGGACCTTCGACAGAAATTTGGAGATTTTCAGGAATTTGGTTTCCCTCTTCAGCTACATTCTCCTCAATTTCATGCAAGGGCCCCTCCTCTTCTGATTGATATGTAACAACATCAACCTCGGGAGAACCCAGAGGCGATGTTTGTCGAGATATAGGGGGTACCTAGAGAAAAAGAAGTGAGAAAATTCACAAGTATGAAGACCAAATTTCGAGTAAAAGAATGCCTTACCTCAGGAGCTGGTTCTGTTTGAGCTCGATCTTCAGAACTCGAGCTAGAAGAACTTGAAGAAGTATCCGAAGAGCTCGAAGATCTAGAACTCGAGGAAGAAGCTGCCTTATCCCCTTGTTGGACAGTAGCTGTAGGTTCTTTTCTCGAGATTTTTTGAGACTCCTCAGGGATTGGAGTCAAACGCTTTTTAGGGTCTTTTGGGACCCTAGGAGGTGAATTGACACTTGGAGTGTCATCAGTCGAAACCTGCCACAAAGAAAAGAATTAAAAAATGCTCGAAAAGACAGAATAGTACTCAAAAAGATAAAATTTACCTCCACTGATGGAGCTGAAGGTTGATCAGGTGTCTGCTGCACAGGAGTTGAAGCAGTCATTTCGATAGAAATTTGGGGCTTGGTAGGAATCTTGGTCTTAGGAATGGCCTTAGCCTAGGAAAAAAAAAGAAGAAGCAGGCTTACAATTGAAACCTATGTCGAGAATTAATTAAACCCAAGTCAAAATAGTTACCTTAGATACCCCAGAGGCAGCTTGGGATGTAGACGAAGAACCTTTTTTAAGGGTTGTCGAAGAAGAACCTTTTCGAGTAGATTTTTGTTTTTTCTTAGGAGGCTCATCCTCTTCCCAATCCTCTTGGTCATATCGACCAACAAAAGGTTCTGTTGGCAGAGCTGCAAAATTTCTCGAGATGTTAAAATCTAATAATAATAAAAAAGGGGGGGAATTTCGAGAAAAAAACAGGGCAAATCTTACCATCTTTAAACTTTGTAAGGATTCTCACATCTTGAATATCAAGGTGAAGAGGGTAAGGATAAGTTTTAAAAGAAAATCTCGAAGATGTTATTCTACTTCGAGGAGGGGATAATTCGTTCAAAAGAGTCGAAGGTAGATCGACCCATTTAGGTGAAATTATGGGTAAAGCCAGAGCAAAGTTACAGTTTGGCAAAGGTGGAAAAGTTGGTCGAAATTTTTTAAAAAGGATTTCTTCTATAAACTTCTCAAAAGGGTGAAAATCCCTATACCTATTTACTCTTTCTTTTGTTTTTTCTCTCAAGGAAAGAGCAGCTTCAAAAATAGTTTGGGATATTCTTTGTGGTAAGTAAAGTACTTTAAAAAATCGTTCAAAAGATTGGATTTCTCGAATATGCGTACCTCTTGTCTTGGCCTTTGGATCTCCCTTCTGAAATAGAGAAAAAGCAGAATTCATCTTCTGGTTGCACGCTTCGATAGATATCTCAGGGTGATGATAATAAGTAGACCACCAACTTTGAAAAGTGCTGGTATAGTAGAAAATAGGCTCGAACTCAAGAGGGGAAATTTCTGGCCTACGTTTTCGAAAGAAACTAATAGCCTCATTCAAATCATCAATACTCTTTCGAGCGTTTTCAAGAATATCGAGATTGGACCCCTCCAGCATGAAAGAGGGTTTTAACTGGCCCAACCCAAATTGTCGAGCTACCAAATTTGGTTGATAAGCAACCACTTGATAAGGCCTATGGGTGAAACTACAAAAAAGAAGTTGACACGAAAGAAATTGTCTCCATGTCATTAAAACTTCAGACTGGGCACTTGGAGTTCTCGAAGGAAAAGGGCGTTTAAACCATACTGGCCCTACCTTTCGAGCAGAAAAAGGAGCAAGTTGAGGAGTAAAAGATTGAAGAGATAAGAAAAAATTGAAATATTGTCGAAAAGCATTACAATAGTGTTTTTTGGCTATGTTAGTAGTCAAGAAAGTCAGACGAAAACCTTCAATCTCTCGAGAAGTATTGGGTGGTTCAGAGCTTTGTAATTTTTCTTCAAAAATAGCATTCAGCCAGAGATGAAGCAGCCAAAAGGGGCCACTAATGACTGAAGGAAAGTCATTAGACCCAAATGAAGCTACGGCCTCATTTAAATTCTCATACAAATTCCCTAGGATAAGCTTCCCAAGGCATATTGAAGATTCTTCGTGCAGTAATTGGGCCAAAGTAAGCAGTGTCTTTGGTACTTGGAGCGATCTCGAGCAAAAAACATATGCGGAAAGCCAAAACATCAGAAAAGAAACATGCTCCTCATCAGTAATAGGACCATCTCGATTCATATTCAAGGTTATGAAGAGTTGGTAAGAAAGCTTTTGGAAGTTGGGGGTTACATCAGGATTTTTCGGGTGAGAATCTGGTCGAAATGAAGGACCAGTTGGCCTAAGACCAAGAATGGCAGCCACATCGAAAAGAGTTGGGGTAATCATACCACAAGGCACGTGGAAAGAGCTAGTTGCTCGATCCCAGAAGAAAAGAGAACTCATGATCATAGGGAAGTTGTAAGACAAATTGTACCTAGACAATTGAATGATATCATAGATTCCTATGGCCCTCCAACTATCTTGTTTTTCACCCTCAACTCTATCTAACCAAGGCAAATATAAGTCTTTGGTTACAGGAGGCATAGTTCTAAATATTTTTTGGGCATTCTCGAGAGAATCCAAGTTATATTTGGAAGAGAATGCCAAGACTCCACCAGCGGAAAAAGAAGACTCGACAGATGACTGAGGAACAAAAGGACCTAAAAATGCATGAGGTTTCGAGCCTAATGAAAAGGGAATGAGTACCTGGGATTTCCAAATAGCCAGTTTCTCTTCCTCGAGAGGTGGCTCAGGAAGGTAGCTCGAATGACCCAAAGGAACGAGCTCAGCATTGGAGAAGGCAGAGGGAACCCTAGACTTGGAGGCCATTTCGACGAGAAATAGAGAAGTTAAGGACTAACCAGAAGAAATTTCGATACAAAAGAAGCAGAAGAGAGAGAACAGAGCTCTTAAGAAGGAGAGTAAAAATGAAAGCGTTAAAAATGAGAAGGTAACTTCGCTTTTTATACTAGTCCCCAACCTCGTGCAAGGCCCATACAAGAGCCCAAGTCCAGAGTATTTTGGCACTTAGTGGGAAGATGAAGAGATAGTGGGGTGTCTTTTTGATCAAAAATGGCCTTAAATCCCCAATAGAACGGAGCACGTCTCAATAATGGGACATTTTCGGTAACTGCCAAGCAATACCTGCATTTATTGCGCCGACTTTGGACGATGTGCCTGACATAAAGCAGGTAAGTGGCAGAGACGCCATAAGAAATGGCGGGAAAAGTAGAAAATGAAAATTTTCCAATTAAATATCAAAATAAAAAATATTAAAATCTCATCAACCTGAGATATTAATATTTTGGGGGGCATCTGTTTGGGATAAGGAAAATTTTCTAAGTTAAAAATCATGTTGAAGGAAGCTACATTTCGACAAAATTTTAAGGGTCAGGAAGGAGCCTAAAAATAGGTCCAAACTTGAGAAGTATCAGAAAGTTGTCCAAGACTTTTTAGTTTCATATAAAAAAAGATACATTTCAAGCTATTTTAGAGGTTTTTGTCATCTTGTTGATTTTTCTCTAAAAATGCTCGAAAAATAAGACTGACAAGAAGATATTCTAAGTCCACAAAACTGATGGCTTTTTCGAGGAGTTTTGAGGGGTTTCCAAGTCACTTACATCTAAAACTGCTCAAAAAACAGGACTGACAAGAAGATATTCTAAGTCCACAAAAACTGATGACTTTTCGAGAAGTTTTTGAGGAGTTTTCAAGTCCCCGACATCCAAAACTGCTTGAAAAACAAGAAGTGGTCAGAAAATATTCTAAGTCCAAAAACCTAGCTGAGCTCCAGATTTCCTCCAGAATTGCTCGAAAAATAAGAAGTGGTCAAAAAATATTCTAAGTCCACAAACCTGGTCGAGCTCCAGAATCCCTCCAGAATTGCTCGAAAAACAGAAATGAGCAAAGAAAATGTTCCAAGTTCACAAGACCAAGACAGGTTCTCAAAACTCAATAATGGCTCGAAAAGAGAAGTAAAAAAGAAACTATTCTAAGGCCATAACATTTAAGGAGTCTCCTAGATTTCTCTCAGAAATACTCGAAAGATAGGAGTCTTGGAAAATTCAAAAGCGGTTACCAATAGTTATCAATATTCACCACTACGCAAAAGGAGATCATGGGCGATAGCGGTTACAAAAGAAGCCCCAACGAACAGCACGATCACAAGCAATCGTGGATAGTGAACATCAACAGTTGAAGGCAGTTACTAAGAAGTGCCCGCAAAAGGAGGAAAACGGTGATGATCTTCATGTCTATAAATACTCCAAAGCACCATTTCACAAAGGACGACTTTTTGCACCCAGACACCACACCTAAACACTCTGAGACGCTGAAACTCTGCACCGCGCCAGACACCAGCTACAAGGAGACCTACGGTGGCCGTTGTTCGCCATTGTGAGGAGTTGTACGTTTACATTCCAGTACCTTTACATTCCTACATTTACCTTTCTGCATTTTAATTTCAGTTCTTGTTACTTATGTCTTCGTACGTTGTTTAGTTCCGGCTTGCTACATTTTTGTAAAAGCATCTACGTTTGATTTAATTGTGCACATTTAGTATTCACTATTCCTGCTTAATACTCTTTTACGCCGTTAATCTGAGCATCACGTTAACGACACACTTAAAAGAACCCAAAGAGAACCTAAATTCAGTCCCCAGATTGATCTTTAGATTATTTGTTTACAACTGTCATTTTTCACCGTAAACAATAAAACATCAACGAAATTATCTTGTGATAAAATATATATACACATACAAAAATATAAAAGTATAAAATTATTAATTATCAGTTTTTTTATCAATAATTATTTCACACTGTATCTTTTACAATTCACTTTATATTTTAGAACTAATGTGCATTTACTCTAAGTATTTAATATTTTTATGTTGTTTAGAGACATACAGTGATAAATTACTAAATAATTTATTTTATAAAAAATCACAATAGTTAATATTATCAATACTGAACTTGCCCATCGTACTTCGCATACTGAACTGGGTTTTTTTATAGCCCACGGGCCATTAATTCCGTTAAAGTCTTAACAAGTTTCAGTTAAAAAAAACTTGTAATCAATACAGTTTGTGATTTGTCGGGTTTGTGTGGCCTTTCTATTGTGAGGGCCTGTTATGGAGTTAAAATATAAGATGCTTTGTACTTTATTATTATTTTTTGAATAAACAAGTCGCTTTCTTCTTCTTATCATTGTATAAAATTTAGAATACATTTATTATTTTCTACTTGACTACAGTTGACCACAGTTAAGTTAATAACTCTATCATACGCTCATTTTAAAGTGAATATGTAAAGGGTGTGCTTATTGAAACAAACAAGAAAGAAAATATATATTTTCTTCAAACAATTCAAATGATATAGTCATTTCTTTCTCTCACGCACACACTTTTAAACAATAAAATCATTTATTTTTGTTCTTAACATATTCTAAAATTAATGTTATTTATATACTTGACATATATAAAAACAAAAATAATTTAATTATATTTATTTATTTTTTATAAGTTTTGACACAAACAATTTCCATAATAAATAATTATAATTAATTATACAAATTGATACAAAATTTATTTTATATAAGATTTTGTAAATATACTATGGTATTTAAAATATTTTTTTTTAAATACAAAAATATAAATTAAATTTTATTAATAATGATTTTTGATATAGCTACAAAAGTTAAGATATGTAACAACTAAATATTATAAAATATAAAAAAATATCAATGATATTTAAAAATAAAAAAAGTAAAAAAATTAAAAAATCCTCGGTAATAATTTTTAAAAAAAGTTAAACTACAAAAAATCACCAATAATAATTTTTTAGGTAAGTTTTAAAAATTTTCATATTTTCGTTACTTTTTTTAAACTCATATTTTAATTTTGTTTTCGTATAAAAAAAACCACCAGATAAATATTTTATACACTTACACTCCATCTCTTTTATATACAAGAGAAGAATTTAGTGAAAGGATCGTTTAGAAGAAAAAGTAAGAGAAATGATTTTTTATTAAATAATTCTATATAAATGTTAAGATTAGAAACTGTTTATTTTGAACATTCACAATAAAATATAAAAAATAATATTTATACCTTTCACTTTTAGATTTAAAAAATCTTTTACTATTTCACTCTATGCAAATAACATTAAAAAGTAAGGCGGCATGCTTTCTTTAATCAAGAAAAAGGTTTGGTTTTTTTCATTTTGCTTCCTTTCAAGTTATATAGTTTTGGCGAAGGTAGTGTAGAAGTGTGCAGTGGCCATATTCAGATCGGCGAAGAATGAACAGTGAATAGTAGCGATGGAAGAAGAAAAGGCCGCAGCATACTACGACGAGCTCACTCGAAAGGGCGAGGGAGCCGCCAGATTCAAGCAAGGCCTTGGATTTTCGGCTTCCGCGCCAAATGACGACGTTCCCAAACCCGGCTCGGCTCTTCTCACCTCTTCCTCTTCCTTCCTCTCCAAATTCGTAAAAGCCTCAACCCCTTCCAACACCTCCGAATCGGAGAAGCAAGCGCAGCTCCAATCCATTCAGAACAAGCTCAGGAAAAATCCCTCTTCCGAGTCTAGGGTTTCGGACAAACCTAATCACGGTTCTTCTTCGAGTAGAAGACGAAGCAGAAGTAGAAGCAGAAGCAGAGAGAGGTACAGGGAAAAGGAATCGAGGAGGCGTAGCAGGAGTAGAGATAGATACAGGCATAGAGATTCGGATGGAGATAGGGATAGGGATAAGCGTCAAAGGGAAAGAGAGAGAGGGAGACGGAGGAGTAGAAGCGTTTCTCCTCGCAAACAACGGAGGTCGGAGAATGATGCCAGTGATGTTCGGAAAAGAGGGAAAGTGAGTGAAATGAGAAAGGGGAAAAATGCCGAGGTCGATTATTCCAAGCTAATTCAAGGTTATCAAGATATGGTGTGTTCTAGTTCAAGCCTTTTAATTTCTTTCTTTTATTTTTTTGTGTGTGTGGAATTAGTTCTTTGGACAGATAAAATTAATGTGTTTTTGCTTAATGGCATATGGCTAGTTGGTGCATGATTTACGTTGGGTTTAGGTGATTAGAGGAAATTCTGTTGAAGCTGCATTCCTTCAAGATAATACTTGTTACTGAATATAGGAATTGGTATACCTGATACATTTTATTAGTATATTTTAATTCGAATGATAATGTCATCCAAGTAATTGTCTGAACCATGCAATGAAAGTAGTGTCTTAAAGTTGAAACCCCACTATGATTATCATAACCCCCTGGAGGATGTCAATTCTGTAAGATTTCTCACCTTGAGATGTTACACTTAAGGGTATGTTTGGGAGAAGGATTTTGAAGGCAACGGAAAGCAAGGATAAACTCTATTCTCTAATAAATATTCTCTATTTTTTCATTTTTTCAAAATAAAAAAGTGATATTTTACCATAAACGGAATATCCTAATCTTTTGTTCAACAAGTATTATATAGCTCTCGTAATTTTAAAAATAAAAATTTCCTTTCCTTTCCCTTTCCATCCAATGCCCTATCCGCAAATATCCTAAGTTAATTCATGGGCATTTATCTTTGTTATTATCTACAGTCATCTGCTGAAAGAGTCAAAGCCAAGATGAAGCTTCAGCTTTCTAAAACTGGTAAGTCAATAGTTTAGGGGCAGTGCTTGTTCATACTTCATACATACCATTTATGCCATGTTTTGTAATAAATAACTTTTTCTGCTCTATGTAACACTGAATTCAGTAGCACTGATATTCAATGTTCTGAACATCTTTTCCGCAGTGAACTAGTTTAAGAATGATTTCCAAGAAATTAACATGTTAATCTACATGGAAAACTTGATTATTGTCTTTAATGGTTGTGTTCTCTGATCTTCTTGTAGTATAATATTCATTGGTATTAGAAGCTGGTTTAGGCTGCTTCTATCTAGTGATATACATGAGGCTAGGTATTATGAATCAAAATTTTAATATTTCATTCTTGAAGTGTGGATAGACATATTATACCCATAGCTTGCCAACTGTGAAGGTTGATCCATATTGTATTAATTTATTTTCTCGGATACTTTTAATGCAGCTGCACAGGATTCAGAAAAAGGTGTGGGCTGGGAGAGATTTGAGTTTAACAAAGATGCCCCTCTTGATGACGACGAAGAAATTGAAGGTCAGACTTGATTTTCAATATTGTTATTCTAAATAAATTCCTGGGATTTCATTCCTTGCTTTGATTGCTCATTGTTCTCCATTCTTGGCGAAAGTTTTTAAAATACTCTTATGTCTTTCTTGCATTTGTCATTTCTATCTAGACATTTTTTTTGTCTCCCTGTGGTTTTCCTGTTAATGTAATTAACATATTTCTCATGTTAGTGTAAATGTTTCGTGCATTTTGTTGAGTGTACATTAAAGTAATGCCATTATCAATATTGAGTACTTTAATTATATGGTTGCCAATCATTATACTTTTTTTAAATTATTTATTTGAACGTTTATTAATAGTTCATAGTTTTTTGCATCATTGAACGATAGTCTTTCCAGCTATATTTGCTTGTAATTGACACAGTTTGTAGTGGTGGATTTCGGTTGAACATAATATAACTGATTCGTTTACATGCTTCCTATATTCAGCTGCTGAAGATGATGCATCCTTAGTGAAGCACGTTGGCCAGAGTTTCCGGTTTTCTGCAGTTGAGGTATCTTCCTCATCCCTTATGCTCAATAGGCAACTTAGTTTCTTTTTGAATACCTGCCTGATCTATGTTTGGAAGAGTGAATCTCTCATTTTGTTACATAGGCCAGAAGGGAGGAACAAATCCAAGCTGCTCATGAGGAAGCTATGTTTGGTGCTACAACACATCCGCCTCCTATCAGTACAGACAGTGAGCCTGAAAGGGAGAATGAGGAGGTTGATAAAAAACAAGTGGTTACAAGCCTCTTAAGTGAAACAGTAAGCGGTTTTCTATGCCACAGTACGCATGAATAAGCATAACAAATAATTCAATTAACTCCCTTGTATTTGATTTCAGGTGCTGGCCAAGCAAAAAGGGTCTTGGCGTGATCGGGTTCGTCAGGCTTAGAATTTGCACGTGGAGTTTAAAGCTAGTAGGAAAGTTGGCCAAATGACACATGGAGTTTAAAGCATAACTTTTCAATTTTGCTGCTGGAATTACAGTGCAAATTTGCTTGGTTTATACCTGGTATGAGGTGGGCTTTATATATATATATATAGTTCCTATGCAATGTCTTTGTATTCAGAGTTAAATTTTACAGGGAAAGCTTGCTCATAGAATAATGTTAATACGCAACACGCGTCACGTCGGCACAGTTTTCACCACCTGATGACCGTTGGTCTGTCTCATTTTTTGTACATTTCACATTCTAGTTACGTCACCTTACGTAGATGTGAGGTGCTGTGACTTCAGTGCATGTGCATCAAGCATTATCCGTGACTGAAAAAAAAAATCTTGGAAGAAATTAGTATCAAAATTTGTCTTTTTTGGTCTAATAATGCTGCGGTTAATCCTGTGATGGGATGCTATAGCTATCGCGTTAAGCACGTTTAGGCAAGTAAGAATTATTTGCTTTCATTCAAAGTGCGTTTAGATCACAGCAAGCGATACAAATTTTATTGAACATGGTATTGAAAGGCAAAGAAAACAACAAAATTATGCGCTACTGTCATTGCGCACATATTTAGATAATAACAAGCTCGCGGGAAGTTTCGAAGATAAAGTAAGTTAATTATAATATTGTTGGAAATTTATAGACACTCAACCCTTTCTTAAACAAATCAAGAGTAGAGTTTTCATACGTCGTGCTACTGTATATGGAAAGGATCGCAGGTGAATGTACAACATTGAAATTGGCTCTCTCTCTCTCTCTCTCTCCCGCTTTAAATCTAGAGTGTAACAGAAGGTTTTTTTTTGTGTGTGTGAAAAAAGGGTAAATTTTCAATAATAGAGAAACATAGATATAGAGAGAGAATAATGAATGAGCGAAATCAATGAAGAGTTAAATTAGATAAAAAATGACGTTTAAGAAATGATCTTTTATTCCTCAAAATTTGTTTCACAATAATTTATACTTTGTAAAACATCACTGTAGTATTATCATGATATGTCTCATATTATTGGAAAATTAATTTATTGGTTTAAAAACCTTATCCTGTTACTGTTTTGGTAGCACGTATTGCTACGACTTAACTAATAAAGATTAACCAATGGGTTGGAGTACAAAAATAAAAATTATATAACTCACATTCTGGATATGAGTAGATAAAGGTTAATATACTTATTAACTATTGACTTTGATATAAAGGTTAATATGAGCATTCTGGAATATGAGCAGATAAAGATGAATGATAATGAGTACATAAATACTTGTTAACTATTGACACTAATTTAAAAATAATAAATTTTTTATTAAAAATTATGTTAAGAATACATTAACGATCATGGTGTGATAGTATTAAGAATTGTTTTTAATAATAAAAAAAAAAGTTATAATTCGTTATCTAGTACTTTTAAAGTAATTGTTAATACTAGTCTCATAAATTATTAGAAAAAATGAAAATAAATAATTAAACATATTAATGTCTTTGTTCCAAAATAAAGGTGAAATAAAAATCGTTGAATAAATTATATTGGTTCCGAAACAAAATTGAATCATACGTACCATAAGTCTATATAGTCTATTACCATGGGCGATTGGGTGGAATACCATGTCTACTCACAGTTGTGCTTGTGCATCTTTTCTTTCATTTAAAGCAAAGCATATAAATAATAATAATAAATAAAATTTCCCATGGTATCACAGATTCACATAAAGTAATTGGTGCTGTGAGTCTACTCTTACCAACCCACTGTCTCCTTCCATTGCATGTTTGCAAGCTCTGTTTAACTGTAACCCGTCTTCTCTCTCTCTCTCTTCCATTTGTAACGTTGCTGTAGATATGGCCAATCGATGGCTTAGGCCTGAGGTACGTTCCCAGTTGATATTTCATGATTTTGCACATTCCCTTGTTACTTCAGCTATCCTTTCTTGGGTTTCACTTTCACTGATATTGATTCTCGCTCTTCAATTATGTGTGAATTCATTGCATTGTAGGTATACCCATTGTTCGCGGCTGTTGGAGTTGCCGTCGGAATATGTGGTTTGCAGTTGGTTCGTAATATCTGCATCAATCCTGATGTCAGGTCTCTCTCTCTCTCTCTCTCTCTATCTCTCTCTCGCTAATCTTGATTCTCGGTCTTTATTTTGTATGTCGATGCATTTTAGGTGTGCTTTTAATACAAATTAACTAAATTAGTACAATATGGGTTCCTTTTTTTAGCATAAGAACCAGTCGCTTACATGACTACAACACTCCAATGGTGATTCGGTGTATGGAAGGTAGCTTTGTTTAGAAACATGTTAAAAATTATACAAATATGTGTCGAATATAGAAGATGTAACTAATAACTTTAAACAATATGTAAATTCATGACCAGTCAAACATAAATATAATTAGCATTAAGTTATAAGCAGCTCTAAAACCATGATTTTACTGATTTTAGGGAAAATCTGACTAGTTACTTCGACCCTGGTCATTGACGCTAGTAGGGAAGAGGAGAAGAAATTATTAGCTTCTATCTACTCAAGTACTTCAGAGATGTGGCAGATGGTTATGCACGGGAAGGGTTACAAACACTAGATTAATGTTTGTTTAGTTATCTGTTATTACGAGAGTAATTCAAAAAATAAAATTGTATTTGTCCAATAAATTCATGCAATTTTACATTAGAATAAAAAAATAAGAGAAAAAGGTATATAATAAAATGAGTAATTTGATATAAAGAGTTAAAGGGGAAAAAAGTAATGTTATATGAATAATATAATTCATGAAAACAATAACATGGTATTCACACGAGCATATGTCGTTAAATTAAATTTTTAGTATTATACGACATAATGAATGTGAAAAGTGAATAGTCACACTCTCAGAGAAGAAACTTAGAGTATGTTAAAGAGTTTTTAGTTTTTAAAAATAAAAGTTAGTATATTGTATTATATTATATTTTTAAAAACTAAAAACTCTTTTCAAGATAGAAAACAAACATACTCTTAGTCTCGTGTATGTCTTTTTTCGATAAGATTTATATTCGTGGGATTCACAGAATTTTAATGTACAAGGATCAAATTTTGATCCAAATTATACATTTTGCTTTTGTAATATTTAGCTAAACACGTGTAAATATAAATATGCATTTATTAAAAGTTTTATATTAACATTTTCTAAGCAAAGCCTATTAGGTGTATCCTAGATATCCTCATAGCATCAAGAGATATCAGGTAAATTAATAAGTTAATATAAAAACATTGATATATTTTCATTCAATATAAGTATGTTTGTATTTGCTTTTGGATATTAAAGGGTCACTGACAGAGACATTTGATTTTTGTTTCGATGTATTATTAATTGGTCCCCAAAAATGAAATAGGGTGAGCAAGGAAAACAGAGCCGCAGGGGTTTTGGATAACTCTGCTGAGGGAGAAAGGTACGCGGAACATGCTTTGAGGAAGTTTGTACGAAACAAAGAACCAGAGATTATGCCCTCCATCAATAGCTTCTTCACTGACCAAAGTCGCAACTAAAGTTCAGTTACTCTAAATTAGCACGCGGCAATTTGAAAACGACATATAATGCATTGTTTTGTTAAAAAAAGTTTTATGTGATTTTGATTAAGTGATATTGCTATATTAATGTTATTAACGTACTCTTGCTGTAAATTTTAACATATTATTGATGCTTTGGTAAAACATTAATTAGTATTTGTCTTAAATAAAATGTCATGATCTATAAGGCTAAATCTTGTTGAGGGCAGAATGATGATAACATGTATAAATAATGACTTTTATGAAAGCTAAGTTCATTCTTTATACTATAGGGAGAGGGTAGTTTATCTTGTTAAATATTTATATTTGAAATTATAGCTATGTCCAAAATACTTTAGGTAGTTAAATTTTTTTTTTCTTCTTATATTCTCTTTCCATGGAACTTTTTATTTTCAGTAGTAATAATAATGATTTATAGTTGTTGCACACATGCTTGTCTAAACCCTAAGAAGAAATGACAATTACATGTGTCGTTAAGGTTGTGATAATTTAAATGACAAATTAAGTTCAGACTTTGAACACGCTCTTGCAGCAACAAACATCTATTTTGTTTCTCACTTGTTTTATTTTGCCAAAAGAAAAAGGTGGTCGAGATCGTGCAAAATTTGAATTCGTTAGACACGTCTCAATTTTATTTTATTTTTTGATAATCAAATTTTTTATAGAATAAATATGTATATAACAAATTTGTTAGACACGTCTCTATGATAATTAATATAAATACGAAGATATTTAATAATATGTTTAAAATAACTTATAACATGATAACAAAGATGAAGAAAGTTAATAATGCTGATAACCCCACTTATAAGAAATATGATCTTGTCCAATCTCTCAAAAAATAAAAATGAATTTTTTGGAAGGTTGCCTAATTAATGACAAATGAAGAAAGATAGAAAAGGAGTATTTCCTGCTTGCTATATTTGTAATATGTTTTGAGCCTATAATGTATATTTTAAGATATTATCTTCCTCCTACTGAATTCTGGAAATTCCGTTATTCATAATATAAACTTGAGTTTTTCCTTTAAATTAAATTTAAATAATTGACTGTTATATAAGTTGGAAAACAAAAATGATAACGGGATAAATGACTGAATATTCTATTTGGAACTACAATGTAGATGTTATGAAATGATGTAAATAATCTTATCTTCCGTAACAAAGCTAATGATGCTAAAATAGTCTCCATCTATGTTTGAAGCTTTTTTAAGTAGGACTATAGTTCTCTTCGCATGTTCTCTGAAAGGAAAATTCAACTTATCTATTATAATTTATAGAATTGTCACCATCTATTTCCTTTAGTTATAGAATTTAAATAACTTATACATTCAAATAAGTAAAAACGCAAAATATAAACGAATTTTATAATATAAAAAATCTATTTATACTATAGACGAATTTATAGATAATAAATAAAAAAAGTTATTTTTGAATAAATTTATTTGTAAAACAAACATAAAAAATTCATCTATAAACAGTTTGTCATTAAACCCATAATAGTGTAGATGAGAATTTCTATAACTATATTTAATGAATTTATAAACATATAAATTCATTTGTAATTGAATGAGCAAAATGTTATTAGTTACAAATGAAATTTTGTCTATAATATGTGAAACAACTATTTGACGCATAACAGTATAGATGAGAATTTTTATAGCTACATTTAATGAATTTATAGACAGATAACTCTGTATGAATGTGCAAAACGTTATTAATTACAGATGAAATTCTGTCTATAATGTGTGAAACAAATGAAAACTGTATCTCCTCTTTCTTCTTCTTCTTCTTTTTCACTTTTCATATTTTATTGTCTTTCTCTCATCTCTCCCTCTCTCTAATATCTTCAATTCTTTGGCCATTGTGAGTGGTTAGAACATTAATTTGAAAAATAATTTGTATCGTTGTGTACCTAGTGGTACAATACTCTAACTTTAATTGGTTTAATTTTTTAATTTTTGATGCATAATAGAGACTTATGATTTTTAAGATAGAGTTGTAGGACTAGAAATTATATGATTGGGGGATAGGCGTAAAGGTTCTTCTCCGAACCTAATTACTATTTGTTGTGAGATTGTCTGTGCTCGTAAAGATTGTAAAATATGCATATTGTGGAGTTACAAGAATATGCACTCTCGAACAACTTAGGATTGTGATGTGTATGTTTATAGTTTATTTATTAATATATTTTTATATAATATATAGATTATGTGTGAAGGAAATGTATATTTTGTATTAGTATTAACACACATAAGGAAATTATAATAATTAGGAGAAGATTCTACTGAAATTTACAATAGAATCTCATGTAATGTAAAATAAAACATTTTAATACATTATTGTGTACTTGTGTTATATTTATATAGTCCATGATCGAGATGTACCTTGAAAACCATTCATGGATGTATGATATGTTCTACTCAGACTCAGGAAAGTAAAACCTAAATTCTATGAAGGTATTGAAGAATTCATACATTTTTATCGTAATTCTTAGCAATTCATTACTGATACCAAAGTTAGGTATCTATGTTATAAGTGTAATTGTATACAGTTTTTGGATATTGATTCAATTAGGTATGATCTATATAAATTTTGATTTAAACTTGAATATTGGATATGAACCAAACATGAGAAAGTAGTTAATTTGAAAAATCAGTTAAGACTGGGGTATGTTAAAAGCAATTCAAGGATATGGCAATTAAACGAGGATGTAGGTGACGTGAGTTGGAAGAAAATAATGATCGTTATCAATAAATGGTTTATTATGGTATTAGTCCCAAATTTATAACTTTTCATGATTTTGAAGCTGAACAAAAACTTAATGGAGAAATTGTAAGGTTTCATATTTTTTAAAGGCAACAAATAAACTTTTTTTAGGATGGGCATGTACATTCAAAGTTATCGTTAATAGTGAAAATATTTAGCATTAAGTCATAATGCAATCAAAGTCAAAGCTCATTTGACCAATGAGATACAGAAATATTCATTTATAAACTATAAATGAAAAATTTTATTTATAAGTTACAGATGGATTCAAAAATTTGTTTGTATTCATTTACTGACAATAAAATTATAGACAACTCTAAATCTGTTTATAACATTTAAATGTCAGTAAATTCTTAAAAAGTTATTTATAATTTTCATTTTTTTGTAGTTTTATATGTGTTTATCATGTATTTTAAAAAGTAAATAAATATGATAGTATTTCTATAAATATGATATATCTGAAAAATAATAGATGCAATACTTTTTTGCTTCTCCTCTTAAGCTTTTTTTTTTTTAATGATGTTTATGATATTGCCTAGAATGAATTGTTAGTATACACACTTATTTTTTAATTTATTAATAGTATAAAAGTCAACAATTTTTAATTATATGTCAATTTAGAATTAGATAATAATGTAATTTTTTTAATATATGGTTTCAAATTAAGTAAAATCAATTTTAGTAAAATTAATTTTGAATCAATAAACATAATTGAAGTGTGTATAATCTCAAATATAAATTTACATTAGCATATGTGTGTTTTGTTTTATTAAAAATTATATATTTTTTATACTGTTAATGCAAATAGGAAATAACCAATGTATATGTTATAAAGTAATTTTTTTATTTTATTAAAATGTTTGTACATTATTAATCTATTTCAATCTAATTTTAAAAGATTTATTTTAATATATTATATTAAAATGTGTATTCTAGTATTAATTGTTTCTATTGGTGTATGCTTGTAAATCTAGTTCTAGGAAATTATGTTTTTAAAACTTTATTAATGTGGCTATTAGAATTGGTGGATAAGAAGGAATTGATTCTATTATTTTCAGTTAGGTCCCTAGTAACAATCATTTTTAGTTTTTGCTATTCATTGTGTTGTATAAAAGCATATCATACATAATTAATGATATACACAGAGAGTTTTATTCGTCTTTCTCTCTAACCTTCTGATTCTTATATTCCAACATCTGGTATCAAAGCCTTAGGTTCATGATCCACCATTATTTTCATTGTGAGTTTTGATTAAAAACACAAGTGAGTGAGAGATGTTTGTTCAAAGAAAATTGTTCTTGATCATCAGCAACGATTATGACGGGTTCAAACGATAACTTCAGGGAAATCTTCTAATTCTTGATGGAAAAAACTAGGCAAGATGGAGGGTTTAAATGAAGACTCTCTTTGAGTTTTAAGAAGTAGCTAAAAATATCGAGTAAAGATATGTTTAATTGGAGAAAACAACTTTTAAATCTTAGAAACTTTTGTATAAGGAATGTAGAAAGAAAAATTGTAAGGCATTATTTTTTATTCATCAAAGTAAGATGAAGCCCACTTTGAGAAGATTGTCACTGCCAAAACAGCCATGGAAGCCTGATGCATTTTAGAGAAACCTTATTTTGGTGATGTCAAGCTAAAGAAAATAAAGTTGCAGATATTGAGGTGGCAATATGAATTGCTCCAGATGAAAAATTCAAAAAAAGTAATAGACTATTTTACTCGTGTTCTTACAATTACAAATTCAATTAAGGTTGTGGAGAGAACTTTACAGATCAAATGATAGTTGAGAAAATCTTGAGATCCCTTTCTTCTCAGTTTGACTACATAGTAGTTGTAATTGAGGAGTCCAAGAATCTTGAAACTTTGAAAGTAGAAGAGCTTCAAGGATCTTTCGAGGCTCCTGAGCAAAGATTGAATGAACAAAACTTTAAGAGAGCCTCAATTCAAGCTTTGTAAGCACATTCTACAAAGCCAAAGTGAAAAGAAAAATGGAATTTCATGAAAGAAAAGGAACAACAAAAGCAATATAATAAGAATATTAAAGACAATAAAAAAGAACATGCAGAATCTTCAGGTAGTTATAAATAGAAGGAATGGAAGAGAAAGGGGTGCAATGCTATAATTATAGTAGATATAGACACTTTGCAAGTGAGTATCGTGACAAACAGAAAAAATGGAAAAGTAAAGAAAGTTGATGAAGCTAATCTAGCAGAAGATGATGTTGATTTAGACTTAGAACAAATATTGTTGATGGTGACAGAAAAATCAAACACAAGAGGATGTGAGACATTGTATCTTGACACGGGTTGTTCAATCCACATGACAGGGAACAAGCACTGGCTTGTAGATCTAGACACCTTAAAGAGTAATATGGTTATATTTGTAGATAACATAGGCATAAGCATAAAGTGTGAAAGAATTAGAAATGTTGTGATCAATATGAAGGATGAGAGGAATGTCATAATTAGTGATGTCCTTTATGTTCCAAACATGAAAAGTAACTTGTTGAGTTTGGGATAACTGCTTGAAAAGGAGTATAGTTGGTAAATAACCCAAAAAACTCTTTCAAGCAATCAACACCATGTAGAGCTACAAATCTAATTGAAGTTATGCTTTCAGATGTGTGTGGACCAGTAAAGTCTAGCACTCTTGGAGGAAATAGTTATTTTGTATTGTTTATGGATGAATTTACAAGGAAGTTGTGGGTTTACTTGATTAAGAGAAAAAGTAATGTGTTTGTTGTGTTTCTGAAGTTTAAGGCTTTTGTGTAGAAACAAAGCAGCAAATGCATTAAAATCTTGAGAAGAGATGGTGGTGGAGAATACACCTCAAGTGAATTTGAAGCCTCTATGAAAGGAATGACATAGTACATGAAGTTACTGCACTATACACACCACAACATAATGGCTTAGCTGAGAGAAGAAATAGAACTATCATGAATATACTGAGAGGCATGTTGAAAGGAAAAGACCTTCCAAAGGAGTTATGGGGTGAAGTTATCACTACATCAACTTACATTCTAAATAGATCTCCAACAAAGAAACTGCATAAAATGACACCTGAGGAAGCTTGGACAGGAAGAAAACTTTAGGTTTGACACTTGAGGGTGTTTGGTTCTGTGTGCTGAAAACATATCCCTGACGAAAGGAGAAAGAAGATGGATGACAAAAGCACATAGGTGATACTTGTTGGTTGCCATCCCACAAGTGCCTACAAGTTGTATGATCTAGTTACAAAGAAAATTGTGTTCGGTAGGGATTTAATGATAGATAAGCAAAGCAAGTTTGAGATGAACAAGATTGAAAAGCACCAACATAGAGAAATTCCAGTATTTATAGAAGATAATATTGATAATAATGTCATTAAGGCAGGAGGAAACAGTAGCATGACTGGACAACCACAAAAAGTAATTCAAGCTTCAGTACAGCTAAGTGGTTATGAAGTGTATTCTAATGATACTGTTAATGAAGAAAGTGAACTTGTCCATTATGTACTATTTGTTGATACAAAATTTGTGAATCATATGCAATCTTTGAAGGAAAATGTATAGAGAGATGCAATGAAAGAAGAATTAGCATTTATAAAGAGGAATCAAACCTAGAAACTTGTCCAGTTGCCTAGAGGAAAGCAACCTATAGGTGTCAGATGGATTTTTAAGTTGAAAAGAAGGCTAGATGGATCTATAGCAAAGCATAAAGCAAGACTGGTAGTAAGAGGTTTCTTGCAAAAGAAAGGCCTGGATTACACTGAAGTATTTGCACCTATTGTAGGATTGAAATAGTGAGAGTTGTTGTTGCATTGGCACATTTTACAAGCTGGAAAATATGGTAATTATATGTAAAATCAACTTTTCTTAATGGCTTGCTTGAAGAGGAAGTATATGTCACTCAACCTCTTAGTTTTGAAAAGGAAGATGGGAGGAATCTGGTCTACAAGCTGAATATAGCATTATATGGACTAAAGCAGACACCAAGGGTTTGAAATAAAAGAAAAGAAGTATTCTTTCAGTAGCTAAGATTTGTAAAATGCAAAGTTGAATATGGTGTGTATGTTAAAGAAGAAGTGAAAAGTATCATCATGATGTGTTTGTATATGGATGATCTCTTGATCACATGGTATGATGAGTCTAAAATTAATCACTTCAAAGAGCAGTTGAAGAAGAAGTTTGACATGACTAATCTTAGTATCATGTCATACTTCCTAGGGATAGAGTTTTGTCATAGTAATGGAGATCTAATCTTGCATAAGAGGAAATATGCTTCTAATATGTTAGAAAGGTTCAAAATGAAAGAATGCAATCCAGCAAAATGTCCTTTTAAATTTGGACTAAAGTTAGATGCTTGCTTAGGGGAAAGGTTAGTGAATTTAACTATTTACCAGTAGATAGTTGGAAGTTTGAGATATCTATGTCATAGCAGGCCTGACATAGCATATGGAGTTGGCATTATAAACAGATACATGAGTAATCCTAGAGTATTTCACATGACTGCAGCAAAGAGAATTCTGATATGTTAAAAGGAACACTAGATTATGGGCTTTTGTATCACTAAGACCAGAACCTAATCAAAATGTGAAGCTAATTGGTTTTTCAGATGTAGATTGGAGTAGAGACATTGAACATAGTAAAAGTACTACTGGTTACATCTTCAAATTGTTTGGATTAACAATTTGTTGGATATCAAAGAAGTAGGAATCAATTGGGCTATCAACGTGTGAGTCTAAATATATTGCTACTACTTCAGCAGCATGTCAAGCAGCATGGTTGAAGTCATTGCTGAAATAATTGAAGATAAAGCTTGATGCTGTAGTGTTGCTTAATGTTGATAACAAATCTACAATTTGTCTTGCCAATAACTCGATAATACATGGGAGGACAAAGTATATTGAGACAAGGTATCATTATCTGAAAGATGAAGTCAATAAAAGAAAGTTGAATCTGGTTTATCGTATAACAGAAGTACAAGAAGCTGACATGTTGACAAAGTCACTTTGAGGAGAAAGATTTTACCAACAAAGATAAAAGCTTGGAGTTGTAAAGATAAAGAACTAGATTTGAGGAGGAATATTGGTGTATGCTTATAAATATAGTTCTTGAAAATTATATTTTTAAAAGTTTGTTGATGTGACAATTAGAATTAGCAGGTAGAAAGGTAGAAAGGAGCTGATTCTATTATTTTTTATTAAGTTCTTGAGAACATTTTTAATTTTTACTATTCATTATGTTGTATAAAAGGACATCATATATAATCAATGATATACACAAAGTTTTATTCATCTTTTTCTCTAAACTTCTTATTTTATATTCTACCGTCTCTAATGTAAAATTATTATAAATTTAGGGCATGATATAAAGATATAATTGCTAAATTATACAAAGAATGAAAATAATTACTAGAAATTGTAGACAATGTATTATTGTAAAAAATTTCAAGTCAGTAACATTTTTATATTTTATAAAAGATAAATAATTATAAAAAAATAACTAAAATATCCAAATTAAAGTAAATTAAAAATATACATTTGAATAATATATTAATTCAAACTCAAAATACAATTTAAACTTTAAAAAACTCAAAGTAGATATATGTTTTAGTTGTTTACGTAATGTTTATATAAATTCATAATAGTAAAAAAGACAACATCTCCCGTATTAAATATTAACAACATAAATTGGAAATAAGATACAAATGATATTAGATATATAATATATTTAAAAAATGAAAAATATCAATTATATCATAAAAAATTTAAATATTATAATTATATATACAAAACCACCAACAAAATAATAAACATTACAAACAATTTTCTAGTGTTAAAAAATAAAATATGCTGTTAATTAAAAACAAATAACAATAATACTAAAACATGTGATAATTCAATATATAAACTTAATTATTATTACAAAGAATGAAAACATAATAAAATATAACTATACGATAACAATTATTATTATTATTTACATAAATTGATAATAAAATATTTAAAATGGTGTTTTGGTTAAAAAATTTTAAGTTTCATTTTATTATTGTGTGTCTCTCTCTACAGTCATATAATAATTGGTTAAAATTTTTAAATTTTAAAATAAGATGAAAAGTATAATAAGATTTTGAAAAATATATTACAAAAAATAATATTAACTTGACAAAATGAATATCAACAATAAAATGATTTTTTAAATTGAAACAGTATACAAATAATATCTATAACTTGACTGTAAAATAAAATTTGAAGGAAATATTAAACATGAAATGAAAACAAAAGGAGTGGAGCGCGTGGTGAGCGGTAAATCGAAAAGGAACGAATCTTGTTGGGTAGAAGACAGATTCCCGCTTAATTGGTTGTTTTTTGAAAAAAAAGAAGGGAAAAGCCCTCCCTTTCTCTCTCTCTCCCTCTCCTTCTCCTTCTCCCTCTCCAAAACAGATCCAATCCTCAACTCCAATTTTCAAAATACTCAACCCGCCATAACACATTCCTTAAAAACGCTCTTCGCACTTTCTTCGCCGCTCACACCATGGCTTCCTCTTCCGCGTTCTCAGATCCTCCTCCTTCCAGACACCACACTTACAACCGAAAACAAAAATCCCTAGGCCTCTTGTGCACTAAGTATCTATCTCTCCTATTTCTTCCCTTTCCCTTCTCTATTCTTTTCACTAACACTCTTTTCTCTTCTTCGCAGTTTCTTGGCTCTGTACAATCGAGACTCTGTTCACTTGATTGGCCTCGACGATGCCGCATCCCGGTTAGGTGTTGAGAGAAGACGGATCTACGACATAGTCAACGTTTTAGAGAGCATCGGGGTTGGCATCTCGTTTTCTTTTACCTTCCACTTATTTTCTATTCGTTTCACTTTTGCCTTCAGTTTATTCATTCTCATTCCCGTGCGTTTCAGGTGCTTTCCAGAAAAGCTAAAAATCAGTATACGTGGAAGGGGTTTGACGCAATTCCCGTCGCACTTCAGGAGCTCAAGGTAATTTTATTTTTTGTTCAGTCTTTTTTCGTTGTAATTTTGCGCGATTTTTGTTTAGTTTGACCGTAATTACTGTTTTGTGATTTTTTTTTTCTCGGTAGGAAGAGGGGTTGAAGGAGAACCCTAATGTCTTGGACGGCGGCAGTGACAATGGAAAAGTGAGTTATGATGACGCAATTCCTCAAACTGCCTCGTTTTTTTATTCCTTTCTCGAAAATTCTGGATAATTGATAGATTAATTAAGTGCGCTAAATCGATTTGTTGTTGACTCTGTTTTAGGTGTCCGATGACGAGGACGAAGATGAAACATCGTCCAATCTCGCTACTGGAAGCCAAAATGACAAGTTGAACTCTGATCCTGCTCTTCCCAAACCTCTGAAAAACGGTAAATTGGTTGTCTTTCTTCTAAAAGAACGTTAAGCCTTTTATCGTGATGATGTCTTGTATACCGCTCGCTGAGCCAGTTAAGATTTTAGTTTTGAAAAAATAAATCCTAAGTTAATAACGGAGATTGTATATATTGAACGTTTTCATTTATGAAACAGTAAAATTTCTTCGCTTATTCTTCCCAACTTCAGAATATCTATTTTATTTTTTTTTCCATTGTAAAATGATCTTGAAAAATAAGATAAAGATTGAAATGTATAACTTTTGCAATGTTGGTGATAATGGGATGGTTTAAAAGCTTCAGAAACTAAAATACTTAATTTATGCAGTTGAAGGTAAATTAAACAAAAATTATCGGTTTGTTTTTAGATTTGAGTAGTTTCGTTTTTTTGGGTTGGGAAATTAAGAAACAACGGAATGCTACATATATTCATACACCCCGCAACAACATGGCATAAAAAATTTAGACATAATCAAATAGAAAATTGATATTAAAAGTTATGATGTTATCTTTGATTTAATTAAGGTGATCTATATTTTTTCTATATTTGAATAATTTTTTGAAAAAAATTTAAGAAAATTATTAAGGCTCATTCTTGAAAAGTTTTTCAATAAAGTGTAAGTTATTTTATAATAATTTTTATGTTAATTTTGGTTTCTTATACAATTTTTTTTAGAAACTTCGGCACTCGGTGAAAATATAAATTAGGAATCAAGCGTGGGTGATAATAATTCGTGCTTGTGACCTTATATAAATACAAGGACTTCGGAATGTGTAATTATGGTAGTTAACGGTGGGGGTACTTCATTGATTCTTTTGTTGGGCCTAAGTAATTAAGTGATATAACATAAAGTTAGTCTCAGACAGTTAATAAATACATAAAATACTATTTTTCTAATGCCATTATCACTAGTTGATTGGTATATCTGTTGATGGATAGATTACTGTATATATTACATATATGTATGCTTGTAAATATATACATTTATGAATATATGTATGCATATATTAAAATTTACTAGCATAATATCATTAACATAAAAGTACTCACATATTAATTATTGGTAAAAATGGGTGACCAACACTGTAAAAGTGGAGGTAGAGGCATCCTATCCTTCTCTTGTAAGCAAGAATAATTATGTTTTGATGATTAGGTTTCATGACTTGTTGGTTGCACACGATGTAAGGTAAAATTGGTTTGGACCGAAAAAATTAATCTCTGGATATGGTTGTTGTTTAGAAGCTTTTTTATAAATAGCTTGTCATTTATAAGTTTTTTAGTTTATTTTAATAAATTGTTTATTATAGCTTATTAAAATTATTATTTATTTCAATGTATAATATAAACTGTTGTGTAATAAGAGAAATAGATGCTTATTAAGATATATTTTTTAAAAAATTAGTGGCGGGAGGCATGTCTCCTCTGATACTACGAAGTTTCGTTGCTGGTTTACCTCGTTTAGCATGTGGTTTACATGTTTTGCAGATAATAGAAGGGAAAAATCTCTGGCGTTGCTTACTCAAAATTTTGTCAAGCTCTTTGTGTGCTCTAATGTAAGGTTATCATATGTTGGTGTATATTTTCGTTAGCAATGTAACAAGCTGATATGATTAAAATTAACCATGATCACTCCACTCGACAGTTGGAAATGATCTCTCTGGATGAGGCCGCAAAATTATTGCTTGGGGATGCCCATAATTCATCAATAATGAGAAGTAAGTTGTACGATGATTTACGTAAATTTTTAGTTGTCTTTTAACGAAGAAAAAGCTTGTAACTTTACGTTGTACTCCCATTTGGCCTTTTCAGCAAAAGTCAGGCGCCTATATGATATTGCAAATGTGTTATCCTCCATGAATCTTATTGAGAAGGTGATATGTGTTCTGATATTCTCGTCTTTGTGTAGATTTGTTTAGTACAGGTGTGTAACTTGGCGTATTCTCGCCATAGGCTTACCATTATTCTATAAATTGTGCAGACTCACACAGCAGATTCAAGAAAACCAGCATTCAAATGGCTGGGCTTGAAAGGGAAGACATGGAATGAGTCACTTAACAATTCAATTTTGAACGAGTCTAGGAAAAGGGCTTTTGGAAATGATATAACAAACATCAGTTTTGAGAGGAACAAATCGGATTTATTAATAAATGGAGACTTAAATCGCAATCCTAAGAAGCAAAAAAACTTGGAAAATGATAGTGGCTTCGGTCAGGCAGACAAAAGCAATTTAAAGCAAGGCTCAAAACAGACTTTAAGGAACTATCAATTTGGACCTTTTGCTCCATCTTCTGTGCCAAAAGTTGGGACCTCTGAGAATAATAATATGAAACAGGCGCGTGACTGGGAGAGTCTCGCAACTGCACATTGTCCTCAGTATCAAAACAAAGGTAATAACACTGTCAAATAAGCAATTTGTCTAAAATGATTGTCTGGTAGTTTATTCATACAGCTTCATGTGGTAGGTAGATTAATTACGAGCCTCATTTAACCTTATTTATAGTGGGTTGATTGGTTTTGATGCAGCTTTAAAAGAGCTCTTCTCCCATTACATGGAAGCATGGAAATCGTGGTACTCTGAGATTGCTGGGAAGTAACTTGTGCCCACGAAAGTCCTTCGGCTAAAAAGAATTCTTTTCGGATGTATTTTCTCGATGCGCTTGCAAAGGGATGTCATTTACGGATTTTTTAACCGTGATGCTTCCCTATGAACAGCTGAGGCGGTTCTTGCAAATTCTTTATTGCATTTATCATTGTGCGCTGCTGTTCTACAGCTGTTAATTTAAGAAAAGTAAATTTTAAACAATGTTTCAAAATTTGTAATTTTCAATTTTAATGAAGTATTAGCAGAGGTGTGAGAGCAAATTCTTTATTGCATTTAACATTGGCCTTGAGCAAATTTACTTTTTTTCTCCCCCCGAAATTTCAATATTGTGTTTTTTTTTCTTCTTGATTATAAAAGCACCTGCAAAATCGTTTTACAAACAAGGTGGGAAAAACATCCTGAAAAATAGCACTAAGGGGCGGGAGTTTCAAGTTCATGTTCATTGTTGGCATTGGCTGACATCTCTCGACTTTGGATGCATCCACTTAGATCATCGACAGAGCGCGTCTTGTGCGGTCCTCATTTCCTTCCCGTTGCCACCGTTAAAAGGCGCTCTACTGGAGAGGCCAATTACTAGAGGAGAAAAGGCAATCTATGCCATTCTGAAATATGATAAGTTTTCTGTCCCATTAACTTCGTAAAGAATGCCCCAGAGATCGATGCATATCTAGTTTTTGAAATTCAGGGACAGAAACAACGAAGATATGATCCTTCCCACCATTTTTGAATTCGCCTTTTAGAAAACACAACGCTGAGGGAACCCAACACAGCACTCGTGGTTTCACAGTGGCAACTGGGTCTGGATTTACTAGCCAGACAACACTTTTATTTGCGTTTATGTCTTTCCACTCAAGGAAATGCAATGGTATTATGATGCAAGCTGGGTAGGAAGAAAGTCAGGTAGGTCTGCGAAGATAAGAAAATAGGAAAAAATTTTCGACTCAGTTTAGCAGATGAAAAGTAAGCTAGGCATCATGCCTGAAGTTTGCCAATAATGCACTTTTAATCTTTATATTTTAGTTTTTTAATTATAATTATTAATATTTATATTTTCTAAATTTTTAATTATTTAAATATTTTTAACTTAAAAATTTTATTTAACAATTGACAAAAACATAATAAACACGTAATATATTAGTTTATTTATATTTTAAAAATGTTTATAAAATAAGTCAAATAAAATGAAAATGGAATTTATATTTTATATAGTATTTTTATTTAAATATTATATATCATTTTAAATAAATATGTTACGTCTTTATTATATTTTTGTGAATTACTAAATAAAACTTTAGAATGAAGAATAAAATTTCAAAAATAAAAAAAATAAATGTAAATAATTTAAATTAAAAAAATAAACAAAAATACATATAAATTAAAATATAATGGTCAAAATTACAATTAGCGTTTTATAAAAAAACCTAAGAACAATTAAACTTACTATTCCTTGCAAGGAAAGCATCCCCAACTTAAAAAAATTATAATAACTTATTTTACAAAAGATTATAAAATATTAATCTTTAAAGAATTTAGAGTTCTCATTTCTAAGAGCACATTTAAATATATGATTTTCTTAAACATTTATTTAATAATCTATTTTTAAGTGATGATTTATATTATAATTTAATAATAAACTTACGTGAATAAGTTGAAAAAACTTATTTAGTAAATCATATAAAAATTTTTATTAAAAATAAGTTGAAAGTGATAAACTATTTTTATAAATTATTCTTAAACTCTTATTGAGTTTTAAAACTAAATAATCTTTGTAATGAGTGATTCTAATATCCTTTCATTTGTTGAAAGAAGGAAGGTAAAAATGTCCTATCAAATAGTTAAAAATGAAAAACATGAAATCAATGTTATAAGTTAAATTTATAAAATGATACATTAATAATTTCATGTATATGTTCATGTTCCTCCTCTTTCTTTGTCTTCCTTATTTTCTTTTTTTATTTTCCTTCTTTTTTTCCTTTTTCATTCTCATCTTATTATTAAGGATTTGGAAGTGGCAGAATTTGTCAATGTTAATACTTTTAATTCATTTTAATCTGTGTTGTAATTATTTGACCTATATGATTCTATATGTTTGAGTATGACTTTGTGCATTGAGATGAATATAAAATTACATGGATTGAAATGTGAGCTGTACAATTATAAGATAAAAAGTTGTGCATCTGCAGTGCTATTTGGTTGCTTTATTTGAAATATTTAGTAAGTTTGTGATTAAATTATTAAGTATTTTATGTGTGTACTAACGAAAGAAATATAGCAAAGCCTCTTATTCTAAAATCCTTATTTGCATTGCTTTCGTAATGAACTATGTAATTTCTTTGACTTTTAAGCACTCGAGAGAAATTAAGGACTGATGTGAAAAATGATAGTATAACTGTTTGATTATATTGGCATGTCATTTTCTCGTTGCACTCCTCATTGATGACTAGTTGATAAAGTTGATAGTATTTGTAACCATGGAAGATGTTACGTCAATAAGAGATGTAATTGCTGTCATGATTCGATATTTGTATGATTTTATTGGATGAAGTCTTAGTTAAGTGTTGTATCTTGGGATCATATGTTTGTGGCTACAACATGTTATTTGCTTAAGAATTTTTATTTTTATTTTTTTCAAGTTTTCAAAACCCATGAACTACACAATTGATTTTACCCAAGTGGGAGAATGTTAGAATTTTTCATTAAAATTTATTTATGGGCTACAATCAATTGTTATTTTTATTTTGTTAAAAATGGGCTAATATTGTGATCCATTTGATAATGTTTAAGCCCATTAATAATGTGATCAATTATTTATGAGCTTTGGACCTTAATACTGATCTATATAGAATAAAGTGTGGGCCTAACCTTTAAGTCCATGATGGGAAGTACCTAGAGTTAATAAATACGATAGCTAAGTCCCCTTTACCGTCACAGAAACACATTCCACTGCTCTCTAAGTTTGCCCCATTGAGAACTTAAGATTAGAAGAGCGATTAGACAAAAGAAGATCTTGACTTTTTACTCACGAAAGAATTGGCACGTCACATAGATCATTTATGATATATTTTATAATGTATACAACAAGTAAGTAACTTTATCACTGTTTCACAATTGATATTCTAAATTCATATAATTAGATTCAACTCAATTTATTCTTACAGAATTCCAGTCAACATTGCCCACTTCTGCAATTGTCAAAGGTGACACCGAGAAAATTTTACAGCTACAAACACTTCACGAAGACAAATCAGAAGTGAAATCATAATGACATGAGCTGCAGACAAGAAAATGAACTTGAGAAAACATCCAATGATGCTGAGGCCAGGCAGAAGTGAAGTTAACAGGTAAATAACTCCTTGTATATCGGCTTGATGTTTCGTACAAATAAATGTTCATGCGTATGTATCCATGCAATTTTTTTAAAAGAAAATTATTATGCAAACTTTATTCTTATACTGTATATGTTTAAGTTAGGGCATAAGGGGATAGTAACATATATATTTTAATATTTTTGCAATTCCAAATTCTTACTTTAGTAATTAAATCTTGAATGGGTATTTAGTGTGCATTTGACATTCCCAATTTGAATATATTTAGGTAGTATCACCAGTGTACCATATCTCAATACCTAGTCAGAAATTGTTTTTGGCTAGTTTTATATTTGTGACTCGAGAATAGGATAAATATACTGTCCAATCAAAACCATAGATTTCATAAAACGCAAGTGACTAATGGACAGAATTAAGTGGCAAGAACATGATAACTCGGATCATTAACTAGTCCCCGAGAGTGACGAGTGGTAAAGTTGGACCAAAAGGTTTGAAGGGGACAGTAACAATCCAAAAATAGAAGAATTAGTAGATATTAATTGCGTCAAATTAGTAAAAGAACATTTGTGAAATTATATTCTTTTGAGCAAGGTTTCGATTGATCATCAGAAGGTTAAAGGGCGCACTTCGTTGAAGCTTTATTATCATCGACGAAGCGAGTTAATGATAAAAGCATAGGCAACAGTATTTCAAATATTCTTTCAAGATGGCATTTTCAGTTCTTTATTAGATAAGATTGTAAAGGAAGTAAAACCACATGGATTCTAGTCAATATTCTTAGATGCCCTTTTTCTTTCTTTCTTATTTTTAACGGTAAAAAATAGCAGCTGCTGCCTGGTAGAGATGGTTTGCTGCCAGACGGGTTTCACGATAAGTTTAGGGAAATTTAAGAAGCTGTCACGATTAGGGATGTCAATTTAGAATTTTGGAATTCCCTAGGAATTGATTCATTTGAGGTCTTAAAGGTTGGAAAATAATTTCCCCCGGTTTGGAATATCCCCCCAAACAGTATCTAAAAAAAAATCAGTTGACATTTTTCAAAATTGTTACAAATTAAAGCAAGATTTTTATTAAAATATATTAATAGTATATATTTTATATTTTTAATCACAAATTATCATAACAGGAGTAACTAGTTTTAAATGCATTGATTTTATTAAAAAAATTAGTTATGAATTACCGTATTAACAAGAACTATAAACTTTTGCAACAATTTGTGTATTATGATTGCTCAAACACTTGTATTATACTAAAAAATACAGTGACTTTTGTTAACTAAACTACCATAATAAATTTTCTGTATGATACATAATGCTCACGTTTGATACTTCAGCGTGACTATTTGACAAGCATACTTGCGCTTTGATTAGATGCATCAATTTTAGAGTAATTTTGGAAGAAAAAAGTCAGTCGTATAGTTGTTTTGTTTCCATGTGGTGGCAGAGAAAATTCTCATGGGTCCCACATGAATAGTTTCTCACCCCCACACCTCTAACCCTCGACCCCAACGATGGACTTGTGTGGGACATTGAGCAAAATTTCAGTAGAACCAAAGTAAAACCTAATGACTTGCATATGCATTTGCTCGTGTATGAATATGTCGCTACAATGTATGAATATGATTACACTGCTCAACACTTCATATTTTTGTGCGCATGTCAAGAAGTAAGAAGCTGAAAATGAAACGCACACAAAGGGGCATATTCACAGCTCTGAACGCTGAACCTATCAGGGCCATCCAGAAAAAATGTTTGATGTTCCAAAGTGATATCTAATGACTTCCATGAAGAAGTGAAGAATGTGAGAATATTAATATATTCACGTATTATTATTACTTTAAGCTTCTCTTCAGAAATGTCACACCATAGTCTGTATGTGAATAAGGTTGCACTGTCCAACCCCTAAGTGTGGGAATGGTATTTCAGTATGAGTGAACCAGAGCTCAGAGAAAATGTGGCATGATGAAGTTCAAATATTGTAAGCATGATGGTGGGACCAACCATAACCAAATCAAATAAAAACACTACCAGCATAAACTTGACCGCAAACCAGTTCTGGTGTTATACATAGACATTGTATGTCTTCTCGACTTTGGGATCGTGATGATATATTTGATATTCCCACACCTTATTCATTGTCAGTGTTTAGATACCTATCACAGCTTTGAAGGAGACTGGTACCAGCCCCATGGTTCATCAGAGATATACTGAGTCACTTGCTTCACGCTTAAGTAATTATCAAGTCCCCTGAAAAAAGTAATAGAAAAGAAATAAGACTTAACAAATGTTTTTATTTTCCAATTCAGATCTGATGGAGATGAATGTATATTTTCTATGTTGCAATCGTGCAAGAGTTTAGTGAATTGTCTCCACAGCCCTATTCTCTTTATGCTAGCTTCAAACCAAAGGAACATGCCAAATTGGGATTAACTTGCTCAAACCAGCAAGCTGCTAGCGGAAAATAGGAAATAGCATTGCATTTTATTCTTGTTTATCATATACAAGGCGTGTATTTATTATTAATATTAAATGTTTCAAGACATTGCAATGGTCCCTCGAGTGCCATGATCTATTCGTAGCTTTATAGACTGTTAGATTGAATTTGGCTGTACAAAATTGATGGTCAATAAACTGTCAACATTGCAAGGTACTAAAACATTCAACAATCCACGGACTTCACCATATAATCGAGAGTTTCTTTTGCATATTCAGAGGTGAATCACTTATCCAGGAAAAAGAAGAAAGGTATTCAAGGTGAAATAAGGGCCATACCATTCTCCTAATTCACGACCAAAACCGCTACGTTTAATGCCTCCCCATGGGGCTTGAGTGAAGCACGGTTGAGAGCAATTAATCCATACAATTCCAGCCTTAAAAGCCTGGATTGAAGCAAGATAAACTATTTAGTTGCATAAACAATCAAATTATTTTATTATTTTCTGTGGTAAGGTAGGTTCAGTTTCACCTTGGTAATGCGTTCACATCTTTCTAGATCATTTGATATTACAGCAGAACCTAAGCCATATCTGTGGAAGATCAAAGTACATAACTTAGATATCAATCCACAAATAAAGAAAAAAACAGTTTAAAAAATGATGATGTCAGTCTACAGAAAACCATCAACTCACATGGTGTCATTTGCAAGATCAATAGCTTCTTCCTCAGTGCTAAATGTTTTGACACAGAGAACAGGTCCAAATACTTCTTCTCTCCAAATTTGCATGGAGGTAGTCACATCAGTTATGAGAGTTGGTTCAACAAAGAATCCCTTCTTTAGATGCTGGCATTGAATTTGAAAAATAAAAATAAAAATTCTCTTGACAATTGCAGAAATACATAATCAAACACATTTTCAAATCAAGTATAAACATACCTCTGGGCGAGACCCACCAGTCAAAATGGTTGCACCCTCACTCTTAGCATTTGCGATAAATTTCATTACTTTTTCATACTGAACCATAAAATATAAATATTAGATATCACATAACCTTTGTTCAAGACAGATATATGAGTAAGCCGTTTTAAGTTACAAGACCAGCAAGAATGCTAAAATGGGGCACATATATAATAATCAAGAGAAGGTTGATTCTTCCCTGACACTGCATCATAGTATAAATAGCCAACCAATAATTCATCCAAGGAAACTTCTGTATTATTCCATACTACATGCAGCTAGATCACAATTCATAATTAATGATGATATCATATTATCTGTGCATTCTAATTTTGAATATTGAATAAAGTGTTTGAACATACCAAAGCACACCTGTCTTTTACATTAGAAAGAGAGTAGGAGGTAATTAAATATATAACTTACACAGAAATGAGAAATGACAAGTATACCTGTCCTTCACTAACAATAGGGCCCAGCCTGCAGCCTTCTTCGAAGGGATCAGAAATTTTGATGTTTTTTATCCATTTCACCATCCTATTCAAAAATTCTGTTGCTATACTTTCCTGAAACAACAAGTGTATCTTACTTTACCAATTTTCAAATATAAATGCCAACAGATTTTCTATCCATTTGTCTAAAAGGATTCTACCACAACTGAAGTTAATATGATCATTCCCATTTCCCATATAATAAGACAAATGCTTGTTTTTGAGCATGCACATGTGTTATAGAGGGAGTGGGATATATTTTAAACTTACATGTACAATAAGTCGGGAAGTTGCACTGCATATCTGACCATTTGTCCAGAAGCAGCCAAAGATGGTCCATTCAGCAGCTGTTTAAATCATGGAAAATGGATCTAAATCATGCAACAGGTAAGAGATAAAAAGAAAATACTCATCCTCAATCAGTATTTGAGAAAATATGATTTCACTACACGAGAAGAGAAGCGCTGCTCATTACTAAGTAGCTATAACCGAGAACGTACTGACCTTTATCAAGGTCAACATCCTCAAAAACAATGATTGGGCTTTTTCCACCAAGCTCTAGCGAAACAGGCTGCCCAAAAAACCACAAATTTGAGATTACACGAATTCACGAAGAACATTCAATTAAACCATGTTAGTAGAAAAAAGGGGTTCCAATCTCTTTCTAAATGTGCCCGCGTCCACGTTTTTCATCCTATCAAAACATGGAAATATGAACTGCACATAACTTATGGATAATTGCTTAAAAATACCTTGACCAGCTGAGCTGCAGCCGTCATAATCTTGCTCCCAGTTGCAGAGCTTCCCGTAAAGGCAATCTGTAGAAAAAGTTAATAGTTGGGCATGACGCTATACTAGCTTTGCAAACTTAAAGACACCGACCACAAAAAACAAGATATAACCCCACGTAACTTGAATTCTTATTAAAAACCAAAGGAAATTGAACCTTGTCAACATCAGGATGGGCTGCTAAAGGAGCACCAGCTTCAGGACCTAATCCAGTGAGGATGTTCAATACACCGGGTGGAAGACCCACTTCTCTGCATATTTCACCCAACTCCAAACAGGTCCTAAAAATAACACAACACACACCATGAGAAACATTGAAAACAAAGAAGCAACATTGCAAAATTCGACGAGAACATACACAGAGGCCAGTTCAGAAGGCTTCAATATTGCAGCACAACCAGCAGCGAGAGAGGGAGCAACCTTCCACGTAGCCATCAACAGAGGATAATTCCTAAAATATGACCAACAACATCGAATCAGATCAGCATTGATGACACACAATGACTAAAGAGGAAGAAGAAGGAAGAGGTACCAGGGAGTTATTAAGCCAACAACCCCAATGGGCTCCTTAAGGACATAACTCTTGAATGTGTCCATGGGAAGAGACACTGGAGCTTTTTGCTTTGCATCCAGTTTCTCAGCAAGATCAGCATAGAATTCAAAGCAACCAGCAACATCATCCTACACACCATAGTCCATACCACAATGGATCATTAAGTGTTACTGTTTTTGTTTATTTAGGGATGTGAAAGGTCAGTACCATGTCCCATGCGGCTTCATCGAGGGGTTTTCCACAATCGATGGCTTCCAGTTTTGCCAGCTCAGACTTTTTCTCGGTAATCTTGGCAGCGATGGCGCGGAGATAGCGGGCCCGAACCGAGCCCGAAGCTGAGGCCCAATCAGCGCCCTTGTTATGAGAGAGGGCTGCTCTGGCAGCAACCACAGCGAGGTCCACATCTTCCTTCGTAGCCGCTGGGATATCCCCTGCATTCACAAAATAGTTTGAGATTGAGAAATTGAGATCTCGTGAGATGGTAAAAAGAGAGAGAGAGAGAGAGAAAGAGAAAGAGAAGAAACCGATGATTTGTTGGGTGGAGGGGTTGATGATGGGAATCCGTTTGTTGAGTGCGGGAGCTTTCCATTCTCCGTTTATGAATAATTGTCGATTGGGAATTGGGATGCTCATCTTCTCTTCTCTTCTCGCTGCTTTTTTCTTTAGGAGAGACGACGGTGCCAAATGCTACGCTACGGAGGTGAGTCACTCAGCTCAGCAACTACTTACGTTACCTATCTTCTTTGTCTTTTCTTCTTTTATTTTCTCCTACTTCAGTAGTCTCTTTCATTCTCTTCCCTTGTTTATTAATTGAAAATATAATTTTACCTGTATTTAATGTTATCACACTTGTTGATTGTTGTATATATATATATATTTAATATGAATGATAATAATAACTCTGTTTTTAAATTTATATATATTTTAAGTGGAGAAATCAACTGAAATGTAAAAGTATTTCTATCTAGAATATCAATTATCTCTTTGTAATAATTCCTGGTTGCAATTTTTTTTTTCAAGTAAACTCTACTTTAGTCAGTAAAAGATATATAAGTTGGCTAAAGTTAATTTTTTAAAATTAAAATTTTAGTTTTTAAAATTAATAATTGGTCAATCACTTTAATAAATTTTTAAAGACGTTAAAATTGACATAATAAATGAAAATTAACCGGGAAATCACTTCACTTAATTCTCTACCGGAAAATCATATGAACCGACTGTGATGGGGCTTTAACCGGGGAACCTCTTGCGATGACGATTCTGACATTTCTACGATTCAAAATTATTTATTATTCTGAGCACATGGTCCGGGATATGTGATATAATCATCAATAAAGCTAATGCTTTTATTGCAGTTTAATACTTACCATTAGTGTAAATTTTAATTAAATAGCTAATATTTGATATATGCCACTTGATTCGAGTGAAATAAGATACAGCAACGTGGCAGTTTTGTCTGGCAAAGGCACATGGTGTATTGGAAAGGCAACTCAACACAAATGAAACTAACAGCAAAGATGAATGGCCACGTTAAAGTTTAATATGTGTTGTATATCCTTACATCTTATATGAAGAATTTATGATATATTTTTTTTCTTATTTTTGCATATAGTTCATGTTTTTTAGAAAGAGTCAGTTATGTTGAATCATTGTGTTCTTTCTTTCATATAATTTTCGAGCTTGTTTAGGATAGTAATATCTATTTTTCTGTTAGAATTTTTATAAATTTTTGTAAAAATTTACTGAACTATAAAAAATACTAGCCTATATATATATATATAAATTAAATAAAAAATTCAAATTTTGTGTAATCCTATCTCCTCATCTATCAATTCTCTCAATTTATACCGTTATTACCTCTCATTCTTCAACCCAAAATCCAAATGGCTCGTCTCTAAAAACAAAATAGGTTTCTTAGATGGCTCCATTGTTGTTCATGCTACTACAGATCTCCTATATTCAGCTTAGGAGCGCTGCAACACATTGATCATGTCTTGGATTCTTAATTCTATCTTTCAGTCCATAGTTCAGAGTGTGATTTACCTTGATCATGCCTTTGAGATATGGAAAGATTTAAAGTTGCGTTTCTCCCAAAGTGATTTACTCCGCATTGCTGAACTCCAAGAAGAAGTTTATGCTTTAAAACAAGGGCATCAATCTGTCACTGATTATTTCACCAGCCTAAAATCCTTATGGGAAGAGTTTGATAATTATCGATCTTTCATTCCATGTAATTGCCCAGAAAAAACCTACCATCATCAAGACTTTATCATTCGATTTTTAAAAGGGCTTGATGAGCGTTTCTCTGTTACTCATTCCCAAATTCTTCTCATGGACCCATTGCCCTCAGTTAATTAAACTTTCTCTATGGTTATCCAGCACGAACGTCAACTCCTCAACCTTGTAAGTGTCCTTATTGACCACCAGGTTCTCTTCAACTCCACTGAGAAGTATTGCCATTAGCTAGCCGCGGGCAAGGGTTAGCTAATGGAGAACGCGGAACATCACAAAAGATATGCACCTATTATGGATGAAGCGGCCACACAATTGAGATTTGTTACGCTAAGCACAGTTATCCACCAGGCCACCCACGTTACCCAAGGCGTTCCCGCTTCCATAGCTCTGGTAGTGTTGCCATCAATAACACTGTGTCTGATGCAGGGCAATCTTCTACAGAAGGAGCTCTCAAGGATGATTCAGAACGGGTCAGGTTTCATCTCCTCCCCAGACCAATATCAAAGTCTATTGGCTCTCCTCTAACCAATTACGGGTTCAGGCTCAGTGGATGTCCCTCAGCCCAGTCTCGCCAATGTCACTCAAGCTATTGAGCCATATAACACCGTTTCTGGTGACCCAATGTTAGGTAACCATTTTGCTTTCTACATGACCCAAAGTAAGCATGCATCCTTATCCCATCATAATCACCACACAACACACACAACGTCTTCCATTCCATGCAGTAGCTCTTGGATATCAAATTCTGGGCAACTGATCATATCACTTCATCTTTTAATCAATTTGAAAAATATTCTCAAATTTATCCTATCACTATTAAATTTCCAAATAGGTCATCAGCATGTCTAAATTTTTAGGTACAATTAGACTTTCATCTTCTCTCATTTTATGTTCCTAATTTCAGCTTTAATTTAATTTCCTTTTCCAAATTAATTTCCACTCTTTCTTGTGAACTAATCTTTTACATGATCTTTGTGAAATTTAGGATCTAAGCTTGTTAAAGATGAATGGTTTAACTAAGTTAGAAGAGGGTCTTGACCAATATTTAACATCTTCGTTTAGGACATTTGTCTCGAAAATATTTAAATATATTAAATCAAGATTTTTCTTTCATCTCTAAACACACCATGGAACCGTGTGATGTTTGCCATTTGGCCAAAGAAAAGAAATTATCTTATTCCACAAGTACGAGCAAAGTATCCAAAATTTTTGAGTTATTGCATTTGGACATTTGGGGTCCTTTTTCAAAATTTTTTATACATGGTCATATATACTTTCTAACTATTATTGATGACTATAGTCACTATATTTGGGTTATATTACTAAAAACTAGTGTCCAAAATAGTGTTCAAAATTTTGTCAATTTTGTTGAAAACCAATTTGATACAAGAATTAAAATCATTCGATCAAATAATGGTCCTGAATTTTTTATGACAAGTTTTATGAATCTAAAGGAATTTTACATCAACGAAGTTGCGTGAAAACTCTCCAACAAAAGAGGAGAGTAGAAAGAAAGCATCAACACATATTGAATGTGGCTAGAGCTCTAATGTTTCAACCTAATATTCCAAGCAATTTTTGATTTTATGCCATACGTCATGCTGTTTATTTAATAAATAGAGTTCCATCTCCCATTATAAATAATAAATCCCCTTTTCAACTTTTGTTTAACAAACCACCAAATTTTTCAATAATCAAAGTTTTTGGATGTTTATGCTATGCACCATCTTCCATTACTCATAGAAATAAGTTTAATCCATGGTAAAAGAAAATATAATATTAGATCTTAATAACAAAGAAATTTTTACATCTAGAAATGTCCTATTTAATGAAATGCAATTTCTCTTTCATAAACAAAAACAACCGATTACCTCTCCCTTTTCTCGTCCTATTGGACCACCAACACATCTTCAGCCCATTTTCCATGAGTCAACCAATGACCTTGATCAGGATGCATTGTCCACCCCAAACTCCTCAGTCTAACCATACACCCTCCTTAGGTTACTCCACCCACGTTCTCACCCTACTTTATCCCTACAACTTCGATTACCCCTCCTCTCGAATCCCTAATTGTGCCCAATTCACCTAAACCTCGTCGTTCAACCTTATGTTTCCCACTCTTCACCCAAACTTACTAATTATTATTGTAACACCTCTTCTAATTTGTCAACACCATCATCATTGACATGCTTATATCCGTTCTCTACGTTTGTTGATTTTTTACATTTGTCACCTTCTCATCATTGTTTCGTCTTGTCTCCCTCCACTGAAGTTGATCTGTGTGGGTATGAGGAGGCCATCACCATCCCCTACTGGCAACAAGTCATGAAGGCTGAGGTAGAGGCTCTATAATTAAATCAAGCCTGGGCTATCATTGATATTCCTCAACACATCAAATCCATTGGATGTAAATGAGTTTACAAGATCAAGAGATTTCTTGATGGAACAATTGAGTGTTACAAAGCACACCTCGTTGCCAGGGGATATGTACAAACTGAAGGCATTGACTATTTTGACACATTTTTCTTGGTGATCAAGATGACTACAATCAGAGTGGTTCTTACTCTGGCCTCAATCAAGCGATGGCCAATGCAACAACTTGATGTCAACAATGCTTTCCTACATGATAATTTAGATGAAGATGTTTATATGACGCTCCCTCTCAGTATGTCTACTTCACATCCTAACCAATGTTGTATGGCCTCAAACAGGCTAGTCGTAAGTGGTATGAGAAGTTATCTATCTTACTCTTGTCATGTGGGTATCAACAAGCTCACTATGATCATAATCTTTTTATCAAATTTGTTGGTGAAATTTTATTGTTCTGATTATTTATGTTGATGATATTGTCCTCACTGGAAATTCTCCCGCGAAGATGAACATCATTAAAGGCATTCTTCATTCTAATTTTTGAATTAAGGATCTTGGGATTCTTAAATATTTTCTAGGTATCGAAGTAGCATACTCTAAGCAAGGCATTTCTCTATGTAAACATAAAGTATTGCCTTGACTTGTTGCAAGATTTTGGCTTGTTGGGTTGTAAACCAGTTTCCACACCTATGGACTATGTTCTCCGACTCCATCATGACTCGTGTGCTGTTTATCCTAAGACTTTGGCTTATCAGTGATTAATTGGACATTTACTGTATCTTATGAATACTAGGCCTAACATTGCATTTGCAACCTAACAATTAAGTCAATTCATAGATACTCCAACCCAGGTTCACTTCAAAGCAATAACACGTGTTTTGAAATATCTCAAAGACTGATCTGGTAAGGAATTACATTTTCCCAAAAATTCTCCCATTCAGCTCCTTGACTTTAGTGATGCTGACTTAAGGGGCTACCTTAATTCTAGAAAATCAGTCACAGGATATTGCTTTTTTCTTGAAAAATCTCTTATTTCTTGAAAAACAAAGAAACAAACTACAATTTCTTGATCTTCTTCTGAGGTCGAATATAGGGTCCTTGCCTCAACTGCATTTGAACTACAGTGGCTCACCTATCTGCTGCAAGACTTGAAGATTTCTTGTTCTAAGCCTGCTGCTTTGTATTGCGACAACCGGAGTGCTTTACACATAGCAGCGAATCCAGTTTTTCATGAGCATACAAAGCATCTTGATATTGATTACTATTTGGTTCGGGAGAAGGTTCAAGCATGAGTTATGAAACTGCTACCAATCTCTTCTAAAGGGAAATTTGCTGATGTGTTTACAAAGGCCCTCTTACCAAAGCCTTTTGGTGATATTCTTTCCAAGCTGGGGTTAATTGACATTTTTCAACCACCTCCAACTTGTGGAGGGATATTAAAAAAGCAACCCAACACAAATGAAACCAATAGCAAGGATGAATGACCAGACCACCTTGAAACCCAATATGTGTTGCATACCATTAGGGTCTTATTTGATGAATTTATGATATACTTCCTTTCTTATTTTTGTGTACAACTCATGTTTTCTAGAAAGAGTTGGTTATGTTGAGTTATTGTATTTTTTCTGTCATATAATTTTAAATCTTGTTACAGGATAACAATATTCAACTTTTTATTAGAATTTTTGTAGATATTTTTAAAAATTTGTTGAGCTATAGAATAGTACTAACCTTTTATATATATATATATATATATATATATATATATATATATATTATAAGTTCTTTAATGGTGGACGGCACGTGTCTATCATCCATGATCCATCTACCTTGAATCCAACCTACACATGCTAATAGGCTAACTTTATGAATAAACTATTTTATTCTCTCATATTTAAGCACAAGGTAATTTGGTCAATGATTTCATTAGCTTTTAATTTTCATAAACATTAAATATTTTAATTTAACATTTTTCGTAACAATATTAATTTTTATCGTTAGATGATTTATAAATATTAAAATAATATCATTTTATACAATTTCAAAGACTATTTTATATAATATACATTACTGTCGTTACATTATTTTTCTCTTCCACTTAATTTTCTATCCTCCTTTAATACATTCTTCATTTCGTTCACAAACTTTTCAATTTAACTATAATTATTATCGTTACTACGAAGCTGGTGGTTGTTATAATTGTAAAGGGAGATTTTAAGTTTGAGCAATGTTGACAATGCAAGCACATTCAGTGATTTTTACAGCAAGTTAAGACTTTAATGGAGGAAAGAGAACACCGGTGAAGGAGAAGGAAAAAAGGTTCTTGAAGTAGAGAGTGGTAGATGAAAGTATATAAGAGATCGTATAGAGTGACAAACAAGTTAATCTAAGATTTACGAGTGAAGAAGAAAGAGAGTTTCGGACGACCATAACAAAAGTATACCATAAATCAGTTTTGAGATTGCATAAAATGACATCATATTTTAAGTAACACTTTACGGACGACAAATATTAATAGCATTATGATAGAAATTTATAATTGGAGGGTCTAACTTTTGACAAAATAAAAATTAATAAACTCATTTTAAAATTTTAAAAGTCTAAATTCAAGGTCTACTCAGGATATTTAGACTTACTTTATTCGCAAAATCACAAAGTTGCTCGCGCTGTTCCAGGTTGGAAGGTTAACTAAAGGAAAAACCATTACTTCGTTTATTTATTGTTTTACAGTAGTATCTTTTATATTAAAATTAAAATATACATATATTTCTTACCGTTGACAATCGTTTACGATTTACGAATCATTAAAAAATTATATATAAATATTTTATTATATTTTGATATGTAGTTTTAAATATTAAATATATTTAAATATTCTTTAATTAATAAAAAAATATTTGACAGAAAAAACATGATCTATCAATAATGTTTCAAATCGATACGCTAAAAACTACTTACGATGAAAAGATACTATATATATATTTACTCATCTAATAAATTTAATTATTTTAAATTTTAATTAGTTAAAGGTATAGCTTAAGATAACATTTTTTAAAAATATTTTGTAAAAAATAACATATTAATATACACAAAATATATTATATATTAAAAAATTATAATGATAATATTAATATTAATAATTAATTATTTTTTTATCAATCAATAATTAAATATATTTTAAAGATAATATTGAGATATAGTATTTTTTTAAATACAGTATACTGTTTTGCATCTTTTAAAAATCATAATTAATTTATATATATATATATATATATATATATATATATATATATATTATAATCCTATAAGTGACACTTATTTATAACTTAACTTTTATATTTAAAATTTTTATACTTTAGTCATTATACAAGTATTTTCTTATATTTTATTAGGACTAGTTAATAATAAATAAGTCTCAACTATAAAGACATATTTTTATAATATAATAAATAATAAAAGAAAAACAACTATACTATACATTTTGAAAAAAATAATATTGAAAGAAAATTATGTTCTTTGCCCAAAGTTTATTGACGATTAAACACATTGTTTCACATATGCTAATATAAACTATATTGCAACTTAGAGATTATATCGGGATCCTCTTAAAGTATATTTCTGTATCCCTCTAACTCCCAAGAAAATAAATAAGTGAGTGATAACAGCAAGAGCTGCCGTGAGAGTAATCCTGCAGTTCCAAATATGCTGCAGGGGAAAACCAAAATAATAAGAAAACAGCTGAGGAGGAGAAATAAACCAAACTTTTGGTATTTTAATTGGTTAAACAGGTCTTAATTCAGTGCGTGTAATATAACAAATCATATTGTAAATTAACTTAATTAATACCTCATTTACACTTAATAAATATCTTAACATTTTTTATTCTGAAACATTGTTGATTATGGATCAATTAGTTGTTAAATAAACTACGAATAAGTTTAATCACATTATGCATCAAATTCAACATATTCAATAAATACGGATCTATTTCAGTTTTGAGAACTAAACGGTGGAAATTTATTTTTGTTTAACTCTTGAAGTAAGAATGGAATTTCCCTTTCTCCCTAGTCTCTCACAACTTCTTTACCCTTCTCCCACCCACATTTCATAAATATGACTAACATTTTCACTTTAAGAATCTTAGACTATCACCCTTCTCAATAATTTTTTTCTGTTAAAAATATATTTAAAAATTATTCATAATTTTTGTTTAAATTTCATATCAAATATGAAAAACCATCATTATCAACTTAAGATTCAACTTAAAAACTCTTGAAAAACTTCTAAAAAATTCTTATCTAGCTAACACCTCCTTAACATTGACCAGGACAAATTTACTAGGGCATTTCTTGTCTTGATCGTTTAAAAACTTGCATTGGTTCAATCGCGTAGGTTATTAATTTAATGTTAAACGACTACGACAGACTAATCAGGGTGAAGTTAACTTTGAAAATTTCAAACCAGTCGTTTTTGCTATGTATAGTTTGGTTCATAAATCTTTTATGATTTTCAAGCACGATGCTGGGTAAAACTCAAGCAAATCGCGATCTCTGGTACTGAAGGATGGATGTATGCATAATATAACACGCGTAGAAAATGTCTACGTGAAAATATTAACATAACAAATTAACATGGAAACTAATACAGAAGCAACCGCATGAATCATACTTACATAGTACCAAGAATAAACATACGAAGGCAAAAAGAAGCTAGACATAGATTCCAACAAAGTAAAAACAAAAAGAAAATAAAAAATTGTACATAGCAGATTTCAATAATCTACAAAAAGACGTTTGAACAGATATAATTAATGCTTCTGGGTGGTTTTGGAATACTTGGTCTTGATCCAGTGGATGCCAACGGAGGTACCATCCTTCAACTTCTTCACGCCGGTGGAGGCCACTGCTTTGGTCTTCCCAAAACCCTCCCCAAGTTTTTGCTTGTATTTTGCCGTTGTGCCATTGCTCTTTTTGTTAGAGGAATTGGACCCAACCATCACAGGGTCAGGCCCATCATCCCACTGATCAGCCCAAGATGTTCCATAGGAGTAGTTGTTTCCATCCATTTCTTCTGAGGTTCAACGAGCTCCACCAGAATAATCGCTTTAGAATATGGAATTGATTATTGAAATTGAGGGATATGATGTATGGGTGTTTCAAGCACGGGACCAATTCAATGCCTTTTATAGCAATAGGCGCTTTTACTAGTAGTTGATCAAGCAATCAACCATATCCAAATGCATGGGTTAAGTTAAGGACTTTAGGGCGTGGATTCGTGGAACAGCCTTCATTTATTATATTAATTGGTTACTCGTTTTTATTCTTTTTAAAAAGGCTTGCTTAGAAAAATTCTTAGTCCTTAATATGATTTTTTAAAATATTTTTAAGAACATTTATTATTATTCTTACAATTAATAGATATTAACGCTTGATTTTAATTAAAAATAAACTTCGAATACTGTAATTAAGTTTTAAAAAATTAATACATTAACTACTTTCAGTTTTTTTTAATTTATGTAATTTAATTAAAAGATCTTATAAAATTAAAGGGAGGGCAATAAAGTTTCAAAACTAAATAGTTTATAATCCATAACAAGGGCAACAGGATAATATCACGCGACCATGTTCAACAAAGACGTCTGGGTGGAACCTTCTATTCCTACAGAAATTTATTTGACTTTGTTAATACAATTTTGTTTTCTGGAAGTATTGACCAACATAGGCCAATCCGTCCACGGTTGCGCTTACGCTCCAAATTCTGTGTAGAAAATTCCACGGTCTCTCCCAGAAGCTTCCATGGCTCATTTCGGGATTGAATTAATTTCCATGGTCAAATTCAAGAAAAGAAGTCAAAATGCAACACCCAAATCAGAGAAAACTCCCAAATCTTACGGGTTTGTAATGATTTAATTAGTTTAATTCCTCAACTGTTCCCACCAGAATGGATTAGCTGAGTTGAATTTGGTGGTAGCTAGAAATGCTTATCATATGGTGCCTTATGGATTGTGAGAAAGGGAAAGAAAGTGTGTCAGAAACACGTCCATTGTGAAGAATTAGCGAGCTCTGAATTTAATTAAGATTGAACACTAGTTGAGGGGCTTTTAGAGTTTGTAAGATGTGATAGATTTATATCTCACCCTCTCCATTATGAATCATATTGCTTCCGCATAAAGTCTCGACTATCGAAATGTGCCAAACATTAACAATCCACATAGACTAATGAGCCAAACATTAACTTTATAAGTTTCTTTAAAAATAAATTTAGTTTAATAATTTTAATGATTAATTTTTTATCCGTAAAAAAATATTAAAAAATATTCAGTTAAATTATTTATGCAAATTCACCTGCGCAGACTTTACAAAAAAAAATTAACGATTTGATACTATTCATTTGGTGCTGTTTAATGAAAAAAAAATCTGCGACATGTTTTACAATTCACCAGTGACGTGGCATGAGGTATAATTTCGAGCTAAGTTGATTAATTGAATCCAGTTAATAATCGAATTCAACCTCTTATAAAAGGGCCAGGCCAACTCATTAGGCAGGTGTTTGGTCAATTACTTTTGATTTCAGACTTGGCAAAATTAGTTCTTGTTTGAGTGATTGCAAAGTTTTAATTTTTAAATGCAAATATATTTTTAATTTATACGAGGCCATTACTCTGATACCCTCATAATTTAGGAGGTTAGAATAACTACTCCTTAGTCTGGTCTATTGTATTAATAACGTGTATAAAATATAATCATATTATAAATGAGCTGAAAGTTTCTTTTAATGGTGTCGTGTTTTTTTTTTTTTTTTTTAAATTACAAAAAATCTCACAAGAAGTTCAAGAATCCACCCAACTGTAGAAGAACATGGATATTGTCGTGTGCCTCCATCGATTCCAGTTCTCAGTTTAACATTTGCAAAGGGATCTAAATTGATTGTGTAGTATTGTCAGTGTACTTCCATTGTCGATGTGTGTCATGTGTCTTCATTGTCACTTTCCACTACGTCTTCTCTACCATCGCGAGTCTCCTCCACGAAGCCAGCACCTCCACTATCCCACAAAACTAGAATTGACAGCTGCCACCAACTTCATCGCCACATGCAAATCGCCATTCAAATCGGAATCGCCACGAATCCATTGAGACCACCATGCATTGCCAAATCTTGCCCCCAAAACCCAAACAACAACAACACCGTCACCTTCCGCCGCCGCCGCCGTTTGCGGCTCTAATCACCCTCGTACGTGAACTCCAGTCCCCGCCTTAAGTAAGATGATTTCTATTGTTAATAAATTTCTATTCATGATCATGATGAACTAACTTCTACATTTACTTCATTTTAATGTTTCTCATACGTGATCTCATCACAGTAAATTGATGCCGTAATGACTAAAATACACAAATCAAGATGATTTGGATTGTAGTTTGTCAGATCAACATTTACAAAAGTTACTCAACGGAAAAGGGACAAAATTAATCACTTTTTAAAAATATAGATCAAAATTAAACAAAAATATTTTTAGAAACTAAAATATAATTTGGAGACATATTTGAGGACTAAAAATAATTTAGGCACTGATCATAATACACATGATAGTGCTATGATATATTTTTTTTAGCTAACTCAAAACATAACCTAAATTATTTACGGGTAAGGACTAAAAATATTCACTTAAAAAAGTTAGAGACTAAAACGTAAAAGAAAAAAAAGGTAGAAACTAAGATAACTTTTAAAATAATTATAGAAATTTAAAACTTATTTGAGTTTATTTTATTTAATTCCTTACTGTCCTTGTAGCTGGAGATAGATGAATTTGGTAATATTCACAAACGTAAACTTATAAAACTTGTCAAATCTATTTTTTATTTTTATTTTTGTCAAGTGAGACAATTGGGAGTAAGGAAATAAATATAGAATACAGATCAAACTCGTCCCTAACAGCAAATGTAATCACTTTTATTTTGCTCATTTTATTTATAATTTACATGTTGTATAAAAGTTTAAATCAATATTCTTATATCTTTACAATCAAGTTTTTCAATCAAATAATGATATGTAAATATTTATTTATGAAAAAATAATTTATTAAATATGTTTTACAAAATTTTAAATATAATTCGTATATCATCATTTGATTAGATAAAGGAATAGCAAAATAATAACAAATTTAATCTAAATTTTGCCCTTTTTTTTCCCCCTCAACTCACCTTAAGGCAGCACTAATTTTTTATTTATTTTTGTCAAATGTAGAACTAATCTACTCCAGTGGATTATTATTTTGCTTGCTGCTCTTGGGGTTTTGTTTCCGGCCTTTTCATTTGTTTACTTACAACAACAAAAAATCACTTGCGTTTCCTTTTGGGTGGTCTAACATAACAGGCACAAGTGTTTTCAGAAAAATCACTTTTTTTTTTAATTTGTGGAATATATCATAATTTACATCAATTTATATAACGCCAGTTTCATCTCATAAGGATTACTAATATCTATACTATATCATTTTTATAAAAAATATTTTTCATTGTTTATGAGTTAAATTTATTTTTTCGTATGGTTATTTTAATCTTCCTCAAATAGTAAAATAATCAACATTTTAATTTTTTAAAATTTAATGTAATAAGAAAAAAATTAAAATATTAAATAAGAAGACCACAATATTTCAATAATCAATTTAAGATATATTTGGATAAAAAATTTAATTAAACACTTTCAATAAACTTTTATCATACAAAGACTAATAATATAAACTTGATCATAAAATTTATTATAATAATTTAATTTTTTAATAAATTATACATTTTTTAAAAATAAATTAATAAAACTATGAAAAGTCATATTATTTTTACGAGTTTCTTGTATTTTTTTTAATGTCCCCTTATCTTAAAATTAAATAAAGCACTAAGGGTGAGTCAAGCCTTTGCACCACATGTTGATAAATTTTGTCACATGAGTAATGGTTTACATTTATTATTTTATTTTTCACAATAACTACATGTTTTTACTAAAATAATTATCAAATAGATAAATAGTAACGTGTCAAATTATTTGATAAAAAGAGAGAGTATATAGAGAGAGATAAAAACTATTCTATAACCCGTTAGATCATATGATTAACTTACACAAAGAACGTGGTTGAATTCATGTAGGTCAGAGATACACTCATGATGTACATAAAAGGACTAAACTTATTATTAGTATATATTTGATTCAGAAAACTGAGATAGAAAGCCTTTTCATTGATTCTAGAAAAGAACATCCAAATAAGATTATTGCATTAATTTGGGTTGAATATTAGCAATTAAGAAGAATAGTACTCGTGTGAGAAGGCATGCTTTTGCTTATGTTTTAGGCTGCATGTTGTATTGAACTCTACTGGTGGACATGAGTGTACTTGTGCCCTTCATCAATAGTATTTGTTTTGTTTGTAAAATAGAAATGTAAGAATAGTAAAAATTATAGTGAAAATTAGTGTGAAAAAACCATCCCTGTTAAAATGAAGGATTGGCATCAAAATCATCCATGAGTCTGCTGACCTATCGACAATCGTCATCCAGGGGACCACCGACAAAGAAAAACGAAAAAAGGGTAGCTAGATTATTGCAAGTGGTAAAAAGTGTAAGCTTCTTTTCTATCTAGTTGCTTTTTCAGTGACTGCTATACCTCATTACTCTCGATGGGATTACACAGTATCAAAAAGTGGCAAAAAGAGGATTTATTTCTGTTTGTTTGTGCATAAACAAATAATATTTTCGTTAATATCTTTGAATGACAACTGGTCCCCAAAAGCGTCAATAAAAGTTAACTTACTATTGTCATTAATTCTAATCTTTTCCATTATAATTTTTAATCCATTTGTATCTTTATTTTGTTTTACATAATCACTACATCTATTTTTCATTTATATTTTTCTCTTTTTTCAGTATTGTGATTCATTCCCGATTGAGATTGCGGTTTGGTCGACTAGGTGCGATTTTCTCTCAATCACTGTGTCATTCACTCCCATCTTCCACCATCACAGCTCTACCTGTCAAGCACATTATCGCAGAGTGAGTCCATTGTCTTCATAAGAAGCACAAGACGATTGCATGTGGGTTATCACTCCTCAATCCTCATCTAATCTCTAAAAAGCACAACCCTA